TTATTTCGTTTATTTGATTAACTAAACCAGATAGCCAGTTTAACTCACATTAATGATAAAAATTTAGATAAACGATGATCTTTATAATGTTGTAATGTTTGGTCGATTTATGTTTTAACAAATTGTACATACTTAATTTTACTTTTGTTCAATAAATGTTAATATTCTAAACATTTTTTTATAAGTGAAATGAAAAAATAGAGTTTTTTAAATTAAGTGGTACGTGAACAATTTCAAGATATGTAGGTGGTACTCGGACGTGGGACGTTAAAAGGTTGAGAATCGCTGATATTAATGTAGACTATATTATGTTGATGACAAAGTGCATAGATAATTATTACTTATAATATGTAGGTTGTAGCTGGTAAATATTAATTTAAACTATTTAGGCTCTACAATAAAAGAATAAAATAAAATATTAATTGTATAAAATATACTTATAAATATAGTTAACAACATTTTACGTTCGAGGTATGTACTGAACATTTTGTAAAACTAGTTAATTTTATTTTAATAATAACTAAAAAAAATTTTATACAAACGATTTAATTAAAAACTTGTTTTAAAGTAAATCCTTATATTCTTCAAATACGTATGTAAGAACTAAGAACTATATACATTATAAGTTTTAATAAATTAATATCTATATTTTAGAGAGCTTCGATCAATAGATCTAATCTAAACATACAAGCGATTGTAACAAACGAGAGATATACCTATATCTAAACAATATACTATGTACAATGTATAATGACCATACTACGTTTGCATTAATTATTTATAATGTTTTAACTAAAAACATTAATGTTTCCATGTACAGTATTATTTTATTAATATTACTCTGTATAGTAAATTATACTTAATAATACCACTATTCTATAATAGAAAATAAAATTATTATTATTATTTTTTTTTTTTTTAATTGAAACACAATTGAAACAAAAATTGTTCATAATAATTTAATTTCTTTTGTAAATAAGGTACCTATTATTGTATATTAAAGTTAAAATTAATTATTTTATAACTGTTACTCAAATGATACTAATAAGCAATAGCAATAATCATTATAGAGAAGGTGGGTAAATTAACAAATTTGGCTATTTAAACAAGCATAAATGATAAAGGTTATATTTCAGAACATTGAACCTTTGCATATAAAAATAAATAACATATTATATACCTACATAATACATTGTATATTAATCTAACTTCGTGTAGTATTTTTACTTCAAATTGTCATGTTTATAGATATCATTAATCATATGCTAATAAATTTATAGAAAATATAATATAATGCATTTTATATCAAATATTAGATAATATGTATATATGGTTATACGAGCACAGTTTATCATAGAAAACATTTTATTTAAATTTTAAAATTTATCTAAACATGCATATTCTTAATATGAAGTATGAACATGATATTTATTAAGATTTAAATATTTTAGTAGTTAGTATATTATCTACATTACTCACTGCATATACACAATTACTGATATGTCAAAATTTAATTTTACATTTTTGACAAATATATTTATAATATTATGATGATCAGTGGATTAACCAGGGAGGTTTGGGTGTTGTAACCCCCTCCCCCACCATTGATTTTTATTTAATTATTCAGTAAACATATTTATTTTTTTTTGCTATACCATCTCTGATATATATCTAAATCTTAAACCCCTCACTTTCAAAAATTTTGACTACGTCACTGATGATTATTATATAATTATATGATGTTATATATAATTAAACACCTATTTAATATTTATTAATAATAATTTAAATAAACAAATTCATACTAAATAAAATTAAATTAGGTACCTATAGATCTTTAATCCTATACGAAAGACTGTAAGTACCTATTATATTATTTTTGTTCATAATCAATGACTGCTGTTTTCGAAAATAATGGAACAAGTATTTTTTTAAATGCGATACTCATCAATTAGGTTAAATTATTTTCTGATATTAACGTACTTCGCGATCAAATTAACACTAAAAGCATTTCAATAAAAAAAATTACTCATACTGGCTATATCGAGCCATTAACGTAAAATGTTATATTTTAGATAAGTATTACATTGCTATTTTTAACTGATAAATAAATTAATGTCATATTATTATGAATTAGGTTTAAAATTTAAAATAATTCAACTAACACAGTGTATATTAGCTTAGTTAAGTATTGAATATGAATCTGATAATAATTTTTATTTCAAAACATCAATTATTTAACGGAAAAAGTAAATTCATTCCACAATAGTGGTATAGACCATGATATACCTAATGTATATTATTCAACATCTACTTTAATAGTACTAATGTACTTCGTGCTTACTTACCTATATTATCCGAACACCAAGTTTAAAGATTTTCGAGATTTATTTTTAATTTTAATAAATTAATAGGTCTAAAAATCTCAATAATATTGAACTTTAGGGATACAAACCTTATACCGTTAAATTCACAAACAATGTCTCTATCGGATACCAAAATCAAACTTATTAAACTCAATATACGAGTATAAATTATTACATATTATTTAGTACCAATGACTGAATGACATAATCCACTGAATTGACAAATAATAGGCACATTTAAACTATCTGTACTGTACGTTCTGCGCTGTGCATTTCCTGTTTGTATATGACTAAGATAATAACATATTAAGTAAAGTATTAAAATGACTGATGATTATATAACGTATTAATGTATTATAGTGCACATAATAAATAATAATATGTCAAACAGGTACTATTACTCATAGCTGAAGTGGCTTAAAAAATAATTACATGACGTGAGACGCACAAAATTCACTCATCGAATATTAGGCATTTTATAAAGTAGTCGTGGGGCAAACAAAATAATAAAAATTTAAATACAAAACGGCGTTATTATAATAACATGTTCGGCCGGCATCCGTCCTCCATTCTCATATTTATATTCATCAATTTATCATGCATGGACAAGTCCTTGAATAAAAAGGGTGAGCACCGAATCGTAGCCAGCATATATATAAAACTCTGGATTTATTTACTTCTTTAAATTCTAAGGACGAGACTTTAGAATTTAGATATTTCGATGTTTGCAGCAAATTATTATAATCGGAAAAATATTCAGAACGGGAAGGTCAGAATATTAAATGTGTTATATTATTATTTTCATCAATCATCAACATTCAACTATATTACATTTTACATTATTAGATCAGACTATTAATTAACGATCGGAAATTACGTACTATCACTTTAATTGAATAAGATTGATTTTTATCAATTTTACTAATGTAGAATGTTTATTATAGTATCAAATTTTAGGTGATTAAATGAATATAAATACGTATATAAAATTATTATTTTGTACACAGTAAAGCAGGGTTGCTAAAATTTATTTATGATTTACGAATAAATATTTTGTGTATATGTTTTACGGGAAAAGTCGTATAGGTACCTTTAACATTAATTTAACATTAACACACATTCACACATCACACTCCACACTCAATGATCAGCACACGTCTTCATGACATACGTTTATAATATCATGGAATGAGTATCGACAAAATAATCAATTATTGACGATAAATTACAAGAAATATTGTTGTGGAGAACAAGAAAACGATGTGCGGTGCATCGTATATCATGCGCCTTGGGTAGGGCCAAAAATACTTATTTTCAAACGATAAATGAACAATAGGTACATGATAGGTACTAAGGGCATAATTAAAAAGTGATGATAGGGATAGACCCCCTCTAAAGCCTTATATCACTGATATTTTGCAATATTTTATATTTTATGTGCACCGTGAAAGACTGACAAAAATATTATCTACAATAGTTACAACAAAGTAACACTTTATTGTCTCACTAAGCTTATTTTAAACATAACTAGAGGTTGTAGTTAGACACAGGACTAACCTATAGTTGATATCTACTGCGGCTGCAATACCATTAAGAATTAAGATAACATACAACGATAATATTTCTAGCTTGTTAGGAACTATATTGTTAATTGTTATTTATCATAGAAAATAACGTTATTTTGATGTATAACATAATTTACTGCTACAGTCCGCGATATTGCGATCGTGTACTGTGCAGTTTTATGAAATATTTATTTCAATATTTAGTGTACCTATCAAAAAATACCTATAATATTATAAAAAAAAATATTGTGTTCTCAATAGAGTCAAAGGTTTTTATTCCGGAATTGATGTAAAATTTAATCCTCTAATAAAAAAAAAAAAAAAGCAGCGTGATACAATAACACAATATCGTTCGTTTGTCACAAGACGGGCGGTGCCGTTTCAAACGACTGGGGACGTCTCGAAGACTTGGCGTCGTACTAACTATCATGAAATAATACGTCTGTTACGTTTGTGGTCGAATGGCCTCCACGTCGGAGGCGACCGGCAAGTGATATTCGATAATTCAACACACGTCACACAGTCACGGCACTCATAGTGCACACAATACGAAAGCATATCACACGTCGTTATTTGTAGCTATATTATGTGTATCGTGTAAATAACACCGAAATTCCGAGCTATTTCGTTGTACGCGCACACGCGTGCCGCGGCTCGTCCGTTCGAGGTCATCACCACTCGCCGCGGACGACGGGGTGTACGGCACGTGAACGGACTGTTTTATCGTACAACGAGGACTATATACAATAATATCATCTCGGTGAAACACGGTGCATCACCAGCACACGGTCAGCGAGCGTTATGTATTTTTCTCAGATCTCCGACGGGACGGCGGACGGTCACGGGGTGACGGCGGTCTTTGTTGTTTGACGAATTTCGTGTTGCTGTCACGGTCGCGCGATGACGTCAGCGGCCGATGGGCTGTGCCGTTTTCCGCGCGCCGCCGCGCCGCGGTCGACTATTATTATTATTATTATTATTATTTGTATACAAACCGCGGCGGCACATTGCTCGCGAGTCGTGTAATCTTGTCGATTGCTTCGCGGTACTTGCGCGGGCTTCTCGTGGGGGGAGACGTGGACGCCACTACCGCCGACGATTTGTTTGGATTTTTTCGACATTGTGGCCCAGTCGCACTGTTGCTGCCGTCACGTCTTGTCCGCAACCGTCGCGTCGCGTTCTACCCGTTTTTGTTTTTGTTGTTGTTGTTGTGTTGACATCGTCTGCTCGCTGTCAACCGGTGTTTTGATCAAAAAACCGGTTCGCCGTCCTCCTCGTGCGCGTAGACTTGTAGTCTAACGGGTAAGTAGATCGTGTACCGTATTAATATTTAATTTAGTAAGTAAGTATATGAATGTGTGATTTTCGTTTCCATTTCCCGTACGGTCCGCAAACAGCATCTGTTTATATTCCTATTTTGAGTTTTACTCTTTTACTGTCGCGGTTATCTTATGTTCAGGTCGATAGACTTGAACAAATCTACCCGTAACACAGAGTCACAGAATAGATAAACCTAACCGTAATAATTTATTATTATTATATCTATGACCATTCGGGATACATTGTCACCTATTATATTGTGGTCTTCACTCTTGACGTACCTACCTACTTCTTTTTTTTTTTTTTTTTTAACTCGGACGAGTCGTAGAAGAACGATCTGCCCCGTCAAAATATTTTGTTCATTACTAGTCATACATAAGTGTACCGCGGTTCGATCGTTAAAATGTTCTTAGTTAAAAATATATGTTACGAGATTAATTTTCGACAAATGTCGTGTCGCAGCGTCGGATGAATAAAAAAAAAAAAAAAAATCATCCACGCCCACCCCTCGTAAAAACGGTACTGATTATTTGTGATGAGGGTGGAGAGCATTGAACGGTTTTCGTCTCGAACCCAATGATTGCCCGCGCCATGACACTACACAACTCTACATAGTTTACATAGTTGTTAATTGAGTTTTGTCAAAGGGCAGAGGCTGGAGAGTTCTCGAAACATTATAATAATTCTGATTTTCGTCTCGACGCCACTGCAAAACATACAGGTATTTTATATTTATTGGCGATTCGGCGAGTTTCGACACTAACTTTCTACTCGACTTTCTATTATTGTACGTGGTTTCGTTTTTTTTTCACATCGACTAGTTTATTTCGAGACGCTCTCGATTTTTCGTGTAAATATGAATTAGTGGAGATGGGTTTTTTTCATTGTTACATTCCTAATTGCAGTTAATTTTAGACTTACCTGTTTACATACAACGCGGAACGATCATAGCTGCTGTAATCGACTTCTATAGTTCCACGGTAGTAGGTAGATTAAACTTGCTGAGTTCCGCTTTGAGTCTTGACACTAAAGCTTAACGGGCATCTTAAAGTGCGGTTTTCTTACGACGTCAAACAGTGTAACAATACGGTGTCATGACGCTGCGTCTAAACGTCTTTTTTATAGTATTTTCCATTTTATATGTTGGGCAATTGACGCTGCTGAAAAACTGTACCTTTACTTACGATTATTTTCTGCTCACACGATTGTTGTTATTTAGTATTATTACAAATTTTACCCAAACATTAAATTTATGTGTATTTCAACACAAAGGTTGACACTTAACAATCGCTTTTTCTTGGTCATCACATACAGGTGGTTAAATTATAAAGTTTTGAATTCTTGGTTGAGTTGGTGGCATTGGCGAGTATTTATCTCCAAACCCTAATCGGTAATAATAATTACAATAAAAAGTAATATATTTCATTGTATATTGTTTTCAACGGTGCACTTTAAGTAGATTTTATATTTTGTCTACACCTATTGTTCTCAAATTTACTATTGTCTGGTAGAAATTTCCACGAACCCAATGAATTTAAAAACATTTATTTTTAATTGAAACTTAACTTCCTCTTGCTCATTGAATTATATTTTTGATGTGATTTTCGTTTCTTTTGACACTGAATTTTTATTTTATTTTATTTTTTTTAGAGAGCTGCAAACCTTAATTTATTATTAATAAATATATTAATAGTAACTAATATTATTTAACTGTTTAGAAATAATTTGTTTTTATTTAAATACAAGATATAAATGTATTTAACAAATGAATAAATACAAATATTTGTATATGCTATATTTATGAACACGTGCTTTACATTTGCATAATTATAAAAACACGATGATGCATTATGTAGGTATCTATTTTTTGTACATAGTTTATTGATAGTATATAGAAATTATATTTTATTAAAGTTGTTAGGTGATTACTATTCACTAGTGTTTTATTTTTAATCGATCATACTACGATTTTTATTAGTGGCGTTACTATGGTGTGCGGCAATGTTATATTGGTTTATATAATGTCTGGATCCTCTTATAAAAAATTGACATAACGCCCTTGATTTTTCAAATCTACGTGAATTCAATACTACTGTCCATGCATAATTTTTTTGTTTTATCAACATTAAGTTAGTAATAATTGACCTCTTGATTAATTGATTTATAATTTAAGATTGATTGTTTAGTATTTATCGGTTCTTAATGTTTATCTTTAATATAAATTTAATATTATAAATTATAGTTATAAAATTATACATTATAATAATAAATAGTTCAATTCTAGAAATGTCAACATTTATCATTTAATAGGTATAATAAATCAAGAGGAACAGCTTATCTTTTATGTTACCTACTATTAATATTAAAATAAATTATGAAATAAATACCTACTAATTGAAAAATATATTATAATTAACTTATATGAGCTAATTAAAGAAAGTCTTATCTTTTATAATGTATGATAGTAATGACTAATGATTAATGAATAACAATAACTATTCTTTTTGCATTTTATACTTATTAATTTGTCAATAGAAATATTTCTTTATAATATTCCTTATACTTCCTAACATATTATTATATTACAGTGACCCACAAAATTGTTCGCACAGATATTTTAACTCAAGTAATACTTTTGAGTTTGAAATGTCTAGTGTATATGTCGCATCCATATCGCGTTATTGTACGTTTCGCGAAATGGACAACGTTTGCATCCATTTCGCGAAATGAAACCGCGATTTCTCCACTTCACGTAATTACACAATATGGATAATATTTCGTGAAATGGATACCTAAACTATCGTCAACGGAACTTGTTCCGTCATTTGGATGTCCATATAGCAAAACTTAAAAAAAATTTTATTTTTATATATTATATATTTTATTCCTAAAAGTTTAATTAAATTATTAATTTTAAGTAAATGTTTTACAAATATTATAATATTATAATACTTTAATACAAACTATTATTTATTTAGACATGTTTGTGAGTTATGACAACAAGAATTACATTTTAAATTACCTTTAAAACAAGCACATTTTTTAGTTTAACATTTGCCTTTACAATAACAACTAAAAAAACCTTGACCTCCAGTTAAAGAAGAGACAATTTCTCTTAATGACATTTCTTTTGTCTTATTCACTTGCTCGATGTCAATGAAGTTTGATGTGGCTGATTGTATATTTCCAGAACCATACCAACCTTTTAGTACACCATGTTCAGTTCCTATACGGTTAAGGTCATTTTTCTGATCGATCACTACGGCAATAATGTTAGCTGGGTCTGTAGGACCTCTATCTACTTTCGGAACCGGGATTACAATACAGTCTCCAACTTTAAATGTTGGTATTTTGATCTTATTATCCTATAGCATAATGAAATAATGAATTATTTTAAGTAAATATAAAAAACCAAAATGATTTTACTTGTAACATTTTTTCGGCTTGCTTTTCTATTTCTATAGCTCCTAAATGACGTGCTTCCTTAATTTTCATATTCTTCTCACATAAATTACATAAAATTGCTTCGGCGGAGTCCGTTTCCATATGACATTCTGTTCCGCAAACATTACATTGAACATTTGAACAGTTATTTTTTCGATCTCACTTTGAATATCTTCTTTGTAGATTTCTTCTAAGTCTTCTTCCGTTACCAATATTTGTAAAATTTCTATTAGTAAACTGGATGTTGCTAATCCAACTTTTGGATCATTCCCAAATAAAGCCTTATACGATGACCTACCAATCACACGATGATGAGAACTATTTTTTTGAAATTGAACAAATTGTAGTCCAATTGACCATTTCTTTGTTTTATTACCTTTCATCTAAGCTCTTAACATATTTTCTATGTCCTGGTTGCTTCTCTCAATACTTCCCTGGCTCTGCGGGTGTCTAGGTCGACCGTGAACAATAACGCAATCTGGCCAAAGTTCTTTCAATTCAATTATAATAGAATTAACAAATTCCCTACCGTTATCGCTCTGCAGTATTTTTTGGTGCGCCAAACGTAAGAAAACCGATCAGAAAAATGACCTTAACCGTATAGGAACTGAACATGGTGTACTAAAAGGTTGGTATGGTTCTGGAAATATACAATCAGCCACATCAAACTTCATTGACATCGAGCAAGTGAATAAGACAAAAGAAATGTCATTAAGAGAAATTGTCTCTTCTTTAACTGGAGGTCAAGGTTTTTTTAGTTGTTATTGTAAAGGCAAATGTTAAACTAAAAAAATGTGCTTGTTTTAAAGGTAATTTAAAATGTAATTCTTGTTGTCATAACTCACAAACATGTCTAAATAAATAATAGTTTGTATTAAAGTATTATAATATTATAATATTTGTAAAACATTTACTTAAAATTAATAATTTAATTAAACTTTTAGGAATAAAATATATAATATATAAAAATAAAATTTTTTTTAAGTTTTGCTATATGGACATCCAAATGACGGAACAAGTTCCGTTGACGATAGTTTAGGTATCCATTTCACGAAATATTATCCATATTGTGTAATTACGTGAAGTGGAGAAATCGCGGTTTCATTTCGTGAAATGGATGCAAACGTTGTCCATTTCGCGAAACGTACAATAACGCGATATGGATGCGACATATATACTAAACTATTAAATCGAGAAATATTAAATTAAAAAACAACATAGGTGGTTTAATTAAATAAGTTTATTTTTGTTTATTAAAATTATTGAATATGATATGGTTAAACAAAAAATATTAGTACCATATATATAATTATTCTGTTATCTATGGTCTTTGCCAAACAGTAATGCATTCCCACATTTTTTTAACATTCAAATTTCATGTAATTGACATTTTATCATAGACCTAAAGGTATAGGTATAAGGTCTATGCATTTTATTTAAATTTGCTTATTCAATAACTAAATAATTATATTGTAAAATAATTTAGCTTAAAATATTTCTCATCAGTAAAAAATCAAAAAGCTAAGTTTAACAGATTGATATATAATAAAATTTGATCTTAAATCAAATAATTAGATTTTAATTATTAAGACAATTGAGTTATGAAATATATTATCATTAATTTTATAAATTATTTTAGAATAGTAAACTAATGATTTTTGTTTTTTATTATTTTAGTTCATAAAATGGGAGACTTATTTAGTTGCTGCAGTTCTTCGGATAGAGTTGAACCATCGTCGCCTGATGCAAAGGTATGTGTATAATATTATAGCTGTTAGTTAATAAAAAAAAATGAAAAATAATGCAGCTAAAATGTAAAATTTAATGTCTATAGTTTTATGCACATATTACAACTATTCCTGATAACTGATAAGTAATAAGTAATAACTATCAGAATTGACCTGTTAAGATAATGCTCTTAAATCAAATTCTACAAATTTTTTTTTCTAAACATTTTTCTTTCAATCAGACAGCTTTAATAACATTTTTAAAAACTAAGTTTTTATTAAATATGAAATTTTCAAAGATGTATCAGAATTATATTTACATAATGCATTTTTTCCTTCATTTTTCAATTTAAAAATAAATAATACAAAAATTCAAAATACACTGTATCAGAAATTTTTGGTTGGTGGGTCAAGAAGTCCCACCTAAGTTGATACAAAGAATTGTAACACAAGCAACACAATCTTCTTCTCCTTTTATTTTTGTCTTAAAAAATTGGAAGTCATGATTTTTCTGGCCAATTTAACAACATTGAATTTTATTACAACTAGGGATGTTATGTTGTTATTGTATTAGTTGTCATTTACTTTCTGGGGTAAGTGGGAAACTCAAGTTTTGACTTATGTCACCATTGGTTTGAGAAAACTATCTCCAATAATTCTGAAGTATTTTAAAAATACTTGAATTGCACTTACTTCTTGTGAAGTGGAGTCAGTTGTGTAGAAGCACATTGGTCACAATCCTATAAAAAACTAAAGGTGACGTGACATAAATCATAATTCATAAGTATTAATTTCAAAAATTTTAACTAATTTCTGAGCTGCTGAAACTGATCATTGACACGCTTATTCCTTTCATGAAAGGAGAGAAGCATCTTTTTCATATACTATTACTTAAACCATTGATTTAATAATACTAAATTGTAGTATCATTAGAAGTACTCTATTCTTCAGAAACAAATAGTGCTTATTTTGTTTATATTATTTTTTATTATTACATAGTCCTATTAATATGATATATCATAAAATTTCCACTATATTTTGACTAATAAAACAATATTATTATTATGTCTAAAAAAAATATTTTTATTTTAAATTTCAGTTGCACTTAATATCTTATTTATTGATTTAAACAGAATAATATTGAATGTTAAGTTGTTTGATTCAATTTCAACTTTTTGTTGATTGATATTTTTTTTGTACTTTTTTGTAGGCTAATTTTAAAGGTCCTGTGAAAGGAAGATCTTGTACAGATTGCTCATTTTTGGTCCTCTTTTTGTTTGTATTGATAACTGTGGTAAGTATTCATATTTTAAATTATTAACTTTATTTTGATACCCAATTAAAATTTTTTATTTGATGTTATTATTCTAGTTTGGATTAGTGATTTACTGTACATCAAATGGTGATGTAAATCGTTTATTCTATGGTTTTGACGAATGTGGAGACATTTGTGGATTTAAAAATAAAAACACTGATCCAAAATTTTGTAATGGTAAAGACATGACAAGTAAACCGTAAGTGAATTAGTATTATTTTTAAATTTTAACACAATAGGTACACATCTATTAAATTTTTTTAGATTTTTGAAAATTGATGCTCCTATTTATAAAGTAGCTGATTTGAAACACGTAAAAAGAGAATGTGTTGAAAGTTGTTCAGATTATAAGGATTAGTATGTATTTCTAATTATTTAAAAAATGTTATTACTTAAATATATTATTTTTATTTTTGTTTTAATATTTAATTTAAAATTTTAGCCAAGAATTCCTACATAGATGTATTCAAAAAGGTAATGAATCAACAATCAATAATATTTTGAAAAATTCAAGAATTGGCAGTCTTTTTCAAGTAAGTTATATTCAATTATATTATTTTTCATTTATTGCCTATTATGTATTACTTGTTAAGTATTGATTTTATTTTAACTGTAAATTATTTAAGACAATCCAAACTTATTAATATTTTTGTTTCTAAGTACTTCTTGAAAAATTATACTTTTATACATTTTTATAATTTACAAAATACAATTTCATTGACTGATAATAATTTTATGTTAATTCATTTTAATTAATCAACATTTGATTTTTCTTCATTTATAATTTAATCTGATTTAATAAAATAACAATTAAAAATAAATTGTTTTATTTTACAGGAGGTGACTCAAGATTTACAACATACTAAATGGGATATAATATATCTTTGCATATTTGCTTTTAGTAAGTAAATAAATATAAATATTTTTTTTCTATAATTTTCACATAAATTTTATATTATTACTTTAAAGATTTTTTAGTAAAAATATTTGTAAAAAGTGTTAGTGTTAGGTGTCTGTGAAGCACCTAAATATTTTATCAATTAACAAAGATAATATTGAAATTTTTTAAGAAAATGTATTGTTTAAAAAATCTACAATCAAAATTAAATATAATTACCAAATTATATTTTTTTAAATATTTAGAGAATCAAATATATGTTTTATAATTTTTTATGTGACTACATATTTTCCTTGATATTTAAAAGTTTTGATATCGAGGTATAATTTAACCATATTAATATATTATTTATTTGTGAATTTTTGTATTTTTGTACATTATTTTTTTGTTAATTGACCTAATTTCTTATTTTTATGATTACTAAGTAAAGTTTTGTATTTTGATTACTTGCAGTCACATCACTTGTCATTGTATTTTTGATAAGATTTGTAGCTGGTATTGTTGTTTGGTTTGTACTTATTGGCGTTGTTGTAGTCAGTATTTCAGCATCTATTTTCTTATGGTAATATATTTCATATTCAGAATAGATTATATTCATTTTTGCATTATTATTTTAATGGAACTCCTATTAACCTATTATTATGTAGGGTTACTTGGAAACAAAAATCTGATTCCGAAATTAAAGATCTAGTTGAACAACAAGACGTTAATACATACTTTGCATTTGCATTAATTGCTACAATATCCACAGTGAGTGTATATCTTAAGATACAATAATTTTATTATTATTATCATGTTTAATTTATGACTTTTTATTTATATTAGATAGTTATCTTACTAATCATTGTAGCAATGAGAAGCCGTATTGCTCTTGTCGTCCAATTGTTTAAGGAATCTGGTAAAGCTATACAAAGCATGCCATTGTTACTCTTACAACCAATAATGGTAAGCTTCAAGTGAATAATAAGTATCTTAATTGTATAATAAATAAAAATTACTTATATTTATTCATTTAGACATTTTTCTGCCTGTGCTTGGCCATCTTTCTGTGGAGTTATTTTGCTATACTCATTCAAGCATCAGGATCCCCTGCATTTGAACCACTAAGCCATAGTGTTTACTATAAAAAGGACCAGTTGATGAAATTTGCCAGAATTTATAACATTGTGGTATTGCTTTGGGTTATTGAATTTATCATTGGCTGTCAACATATGATAATTGCTGGTTCTGTTGCTACATGGTTCTTCACTAGAAACAAAGACAATGTTTCATCTCCAATTTCAACATCCATTAGTAATTTGTTCAACTTCCATTTGGGATCTGTAGCTTTTGGATCGTTCATTATAACCATTTTCCAAATAATCAGAGCTATTTTAAACTTCATTGATGAATCTCTAAAGGAATCTAAAAATGAAATAGCGCAGGCATTATATAAAGTATTTCAATGTTTATTCAGTTGTCTACAGCAATTTTTACAATATTTGACAAGAAATGCTTATATTGAAGTTGGTAAGAAATATTTATTTTCATTCTTATCATTTTATGAGATACTAGTTTGCATTGAAGATTTTGTATAATTAAATTGCAAACTAGAACACTGAAAGCATTATGCATTACTTTTTAAATTATAATTAAATAGATAAACTTATTCTATTTTGACATCACTTTAACTTGTAGCAGTTCCAGCTATGTTTTTTTATAATACCCTAGTCACTTTCACTAGTCATTTTAAAACATGTATATGTATATATATATATATTGTAGAATTTTAACAAGTTATATTCATTTTATAATTTTAATTTATCCTTTTTTCACTTAGAAAATAATGTATAACAATTAGTTTTTAACAACTTGTATGATTGAAGGGCAATTTAAGTCTGTAATTACAGTAACATTATAATTTGGAATAGTTATTATTGTTGGACATGATTTTGAAATTTGTGTTGTTAAAGTATATTAACATTTAAACAATTATTACTATAATTCTTAAAAGTAATATCCTTAAGTAATTGATTATTTAATTAAATTTTTTATTTTTAGCTATTTATGGTGATAATTTCTGCAAATCAGGACAACAAGCTTTTAAAATGATAACTTCAAATGTATTACGTGTTGCTGCCATAAATTCTGTTGGAGACTTTGTGCTTTTCTTAGGAAAAGTACTTGTGGTCACATCAACTGTGTTACTAGGTTTCAAAATGCTTGAGGTATTGTTTTGGATATTGATATTTATTAAAACCAAGATTAAATAGAAATTTATTGTTAAATTAGCTTAAGTTTAATAAATAGTTAATTCTTTATATAGCACTGTGATAATGTCTTATTAACTATTAATCTCATTGTTGATATCATATTGGTAATAAAGCTTTATAATATATTAACATTTTTAATTTTTTTTAGACTAAGCCTGGAGTCCTTCATTTGTGGGTTCCACTTACAGTTGCTGGAATTTTTGCCTATTTTGTTGCACACTGCTTTATTTCTGTATATGAAGTAAGATATTTACTAAATTATTACAATGTGTAGATTTAAAACATTATTAAATGTGTAGATGGTGATTGACACAATATTTATGTGTTTCTGCGAAGATTGTAATCTAAATGATGGAGTTACTCAAGAGTATTACATGAGTAAAGAACTTATGGTAGGTTAAATTATTAAAAGTGTTAGCATACCATTAAAAAATAATATAATTATAATTTTTTTTTTTTTTTAAGGATTTTGTTGAGAGTAGTCAGAAAGTGTTACGAGTTGGTGATGGAGCTTCAAATTAATTTAAATTCATGAATCTGCAGTTACATTTATAACAATCTATTTATTCATATTTATTAACTAAAAAAAAGTACAATTCAATTACTTCAAGTTGAACATCTGTATTACGTAAACTTTTATTTTATAATTTTTTGTATTGCCATTATTATGTATAATTTTTAATTTTAATTTTTGTTAAATGCTAAAAAATCATTAGAAGGACTACCGACTAATGCCATTAAGAACAATTTTTTTTATACATTTATATGATTTTTTTTAATAATTTATATAATGTCTAATTTAACATATTATGTTTATAATGTTATATTCCTATTGAAAATAATTTAACAATGTTATACAATTTCACGATATTTAATAATTTTTTAATATATATATTGGTATTATTTAATAATACTGGCCTTTAATGTCCTAATATTTATTTTTATTTTCTACTTGAATTTGAATAAATATATAAATGTTTATTATGACCAAAGAATATAATATTTTAACTTATAGTTATGAAGAGGTTGATTTTAAGTGGTGTTAAAAATGTATCAATTATCTAACAAAAACATTAAAATTATAAACCATTTCAATGATAAAATATTTATTATAATTTATGTAATAACATCTAATTCCTAATTACATTGTATTCAATTATTTTTTCATTTTTATACTTAGGACACAACATAAACTATTCCATAATATTATGTGCTTTTTATAATGAAATTCATTTTTATATCTATTTTTTTTTTTTTTTTAATAATATATACTATTTATGAATTAAAACTATTTTAATATTTTCTTATGTTTTAACGATTATTAAATTCTTAATCAGTTAAATTTTGTTTGGTTGACGAACATAAAACATACATAGTACAATACTATCATGTAGTTAGGGGTGAAGTGGCCAAGCGGACTAAGGCGTCGGTTGCGTCGCGCACCATTGCCGGTTCAAATCTCGGTCACGAGCGGTGTCACTCTTCAGGCATTCACGGTGTTTGGAGAGAGAAGCCGCCCCCCCTCCCACGGGCATGGTAGAAACCTACAGGTGCCTACTAAAAATTCTGCCAAATAGGCGTCCGAACTATAGGCCTTCGGTCTTACTCCCGGACATATGTGCCATACAAAGAAATCATGTAGTTTTATCGAAACTAATCATTTAAAATATAAATAAATCGATATTTTCCACTACAAGAAGAATGTGTGAATCATTTTTATGTTTTTGGATTTTTTGCCATTATTTTGCAATTTGGTGTCTTAGGCTAATTTAGATACCTCAAATCTTAAGTTTATTATGAAATATTACTATATTAACTTTAAGTAATAATAGATAAACTAACTTGATAAGTAGTGAAATTTAGGGTTACTCAAAATTTGTTAGAGTTGGAAAATCAAAATATCTGTAAACCCAAAAATTTATATGTCAAGAAATATTTATTACTATTATCAGTTTTAAGTGTTTAAAAATGTTTGAAAGGGATAATTTAATTTTTTTAATTTAGTCAATCAAAATAGATGGTAAACCTATAATTTTCTTACTAAGATCAAATAAAGAATTTTTATCATTCTATATGCATAGTTGATTGTAATTATATTTGAAATGTTTTACTTGCGATAAAACTTTAATTTATTTTACTGTAAATAATATTTTGAAGCTATATAAAAAATAATTGCCTCAAATTTAATAACTTTTCACATATCTCGATATTTAATTCTTTGCTAACGTGTACTTTTGTAATAATAATTAGTTTAAGTTTTGGTATAAATAAACTGCAGCTATTTTAAATATTGTAGACACTTCGGATAGTAAGTGCAAAGTAATATAGTAATAATAAATTATAAGTAATATACTTTGTAGTCTTTGTACACTTATGAACTACTGGTTATCGAGTTGGATAACTTTCTCCAATGGCCTTGTGCAGGTTATAGGTTTCATATTCTATTTGAATTTTTGTTGATTTAATTGTTACTAGTTATTTACTTATTACTTATTAAATTATTTGGGACAAAAAATAATACTAATATTACTTAAGTATGATACACTTTTTATTAATATGAGCTGTTTAGTTGGGGTAAATTTATTTTTCTGTGATCAATCTTTCTGACTACTGCATTATTTAGGTATAACTTAAACTATATTAAATAACATGGTTTTTTCATAATAAGATTTATTAACATTTATCAAATTCATTTTTTGTATTACCTTTATTATTATCTCGAAAAATATAAATTTTTAAAAATTTAAATCAATAACATATTTAGTATAAGAAGTAGATTTTTAACAGAAATGTATTAATAATTATCAAACAAAATATTTCTTTTATTATAAATAACGTTGATAATATTATATAAAAGAAAACAATAATTTAATAAACTTTGTATATATTTGTGTAAAGAAGGAATAAATATTCGAAAGTTTTGAATTGTTAATAATTTAATAGCACAGAAAACAGGAATTTTTATTATTTTAAAAATATTAGAAATTTGATTTTAGTCTCAGGTAGGATTATAGTTTAAAAGAAAAACTAGGTATACTAAAAAAATAAAGAATAAGTTTATATTTTAATATTTTACAATGAATTCATTATTCAGATACATAATGGAAAAAAAATAAATTGTTGATAAATTGTACAAAATTAAAAAAAAATTGATATTCAATTTAATTCTAAAGAATGAAAAGAGTTTTTCATACGGTTCAAACTGTTCAGTATAGACTCAACATCATCTGAAGAGACACATTTCATATTGGAGAGATCTTTTTCAACTTCGTGTACTGTTGGTCCTACTTTAGAAATAACCCACTCAGCTAGAACGGTGTTGGTTTTCAAACGACTCTGCAATGCCAGCAAACTTTGAAGACGTTTAGTTCGCTCAGCAACCTTTGTTCTCAACTCAACCAGTCTATCATTTGACTTCTCAACAGGATTTTCCACATTCACGGTTAATATGTCTGCCAGCTTGGGTTCTAGACATTCGACGTTGACTATGCCTTTTCTCAAGTAAGTTAAATACAGCTTGCACAGTCGTTGACGATACGCTTCGGCTTCTTCATCTGTTTTGCAATGTAATTTTGTTTTACGGTACATGCCATCAATTATAGCGCGAATCGACGTGTCCATTATGTCCGCTATGGAACCGATTATAATGATGTGTGAGAAACCAAATACCTTGAACGTGTTCTCAGAATCTTTCAGGCGCTTAGTAAAATCATCACACACGTTTTCGTCCTCCATTTCGTTGAGATCCATCTTAGGGTGAGAAAAAATATAGTAGTTCTAGTAAAATACTAAAATCGAAAATGTGTAGAAGAAAAAAAAATCTTCATCAACATTCAACATTCGTAAAATACAATTATGAATTAATAAGACCAACGAGCGAGGAGTGACAAGTTATTATATAGTTAATACTTAATATGATAATAATTATGAAGCCTCAAGCCAATATTGTTAAACTTCGTTATTTTAAAAACAGTAAACACTAAGACGATAATAATAATATGCTCGTGGGTAATTGGTTATCACTTATCATTATCAATGATTCAGATTCTTCTTATTGTTCTATACCATGGTAACCAACTGATGTACGCAGTGATTTAACTTACCGTTGGGTTCACACTGGTACGTCGTGACGATTATGCCCAAAAGTAGTAATTATACAATATACATACATACTCCATGTTAAATTTAATACTTAGTACTTACTAATAATCTGTTTTTTGTCAAAATTTTAACTATGTTTAACTTATATTTGAAAATTGCTGTTTGTAGATAGATAAGATATAAATAATAAAATAACGCTATGTGTAGACCTACTCGACCATTATTAATACTGCATTACTGTGCATGGTTAGTTAATATTGCACTGGGACTGATATTTTTTTAGCTTGTATTTTAGGTACCTAATTAATGTATTTGTATCAATAAGAGTGTTTTTTACAAGACATTCAAAATGTGTCGATGAATGTGCAATATTTGGAAAGACTAGGAGTATAGATAAAAAAAAATAACTGCAGAAGAATAAGGGGTCAATTATTAAAATTGTTCTGCAAATTTACATGTTTAAACATTCTTTCCAAAGTGTGTCGGCTAAAATATTTGAAGTACTAAATTTTAATAAAACGTTCCCTTGTATTTGTTTGCTTGTCTAAGTTACATTGGATGAAAAATGTGTAACATTAGGTACTCACATACTATAATTTAATTAAATATAAGTTTTAAAATCATATCATAAAATGTATGTTGTTTTTTGCCTTAGTCATGGTTACATAAGAAGACGCTATAATTGCATTCGTTTTCATCTTTTAGTAAATTTATGTAATAAATTAGGGTGAATTAAGTTATCATTAAACTTGCGGAAAGAACATTGTCTATATTTTTGTCGTTTTTTACATAGTTAAAAAAATTATTCAGGAATACAAGTACTTTTAATTTGTGTTATTTAATGTGTGCAAAAGAGTAGACTAATACTTAATTTTTTCAAAATTTAAAGAGTATTAGTAATGTTTAAATAAGTATAATGCACCTTGTCAACGTCTCTCATGTAAAATAATACAGCAACACAAGTTAGTCAACACCAGTGACACTACGCATAGACATATAATAATTGCTTGATGCAGGTGTAGACGATAAGACATATTTTAGTTTTTATTTTTGCTATTACATAAAAGTATGATATAAAAATGTTTTTTTTTGTTAAATGGCCCTTTAAAAATTAAGTCCTCACAAATATTTATTTTCATACAACAGTGCTTTATTTAGGCAAAAATATTTGCAACAATTATAGTCTTAATAAAAATAGAGACATTTGGTTAATTTTTATGAGTTTAACTTAAAATTGGATATTATATTTTATCTGATTAGTAATAAATATTTCATGAGATAATATATTTTGAATTATAGGATTTTTTCAAATTAATTAGACAAATTCTTTCCAATTATTATAAATAATAATGATAGTAAAACACAAATAATATTTTAGAAAATTTATTAGAATTAAATTGTAATTAAAGTAGAAACTTTGTTAGAAACTTTTTAGTAATATAAAAATTAGGTGTGTTTAAGCATAATGAATAAAAAAAATAAACAAGTATTATTATCCTTTGAGTGACGACATACCAGCTCTCATTATTTCATCAACAAGCAACAAATTGCTAGCGATAATAGTACTAAAAAAAAATAACAAATTTAATAAATTAGAATGAGGACATTTTAAACTGTATACAAAAATATTATGATCTTACCAAGAGTTCAGGATTTGTTTTTTAACACAATAATTATCAAATATTCCAGCATCAACTGGTTGAAGAACTTCACCACTATCAACATTTACACCTACTGGACCAGCACTTTCTCTACACTCTTCTTGTAATTTAACAATCATATCTTGAGCATCAAAACCACTGTTGATTGCTAAAATATTGAAGTAATATTTAAGGTTAGGCAAAACTAATAATCAACTTTAAACAAATAAAATTCATCATATATTAACTTACAAATAGTCTTAGGTATGATTAATAAAGCTTCGGCATATGCTTGAATCCCCAAACGACTTTTGCCTTTAATTTCATCTTTATACTTTTGAAGTTCTTGCCAAGCGAATATTTCAAAAGCACCAGCACCTGGTACTACAGCACCTACAATTTAAATTTGGTGTTTTTGAAACTATTACAACAATTTAAATAATTAATAATTATAATATATAATATTTGTTAGGGTTATTGTAAAAATATTTATTAATAAAAAACCTAATGGTATAATAATTTATAATATTATGTACACAATTATCATTTATTTAAAAAGAAAAAAAAATATGTAAAATAGCTGTATATCTGTTATTAGACTGTGACAACTATTGTTCAGAATTTATGAATATAAATTATTTTTAGACTAAAATACAATGATTACAACCGTATTTTTAAAAGAGTCAATATTATTATTTATAAATGGGTCCAGAAATTTAAGAAAAAGAAAATTTTTAATATATATTTCTATTATTTTTTAAAAATTTAATAAAAAAAAATAATAGAAAAATCAAATAAATATGAAATTTATATTTACACTTACATTAAATCATACTAACAATTTATTAATACATTGTAGTTTAGAAAATATTAGTAAAATAAATTAAAATTATTATTTCTAAAAAATTATTGAAGATAAATTATATTTGCTTAGTAATCACATTACAGTAATTTTGAGTATTTAAAATAATAAAAAAATCAATAAAATGAAAAAAAAATTCCAAGATATGATAAAGAAATTAAATATTGCTTAACTCCTAAAATATTTTTAAACATGCAAAAAACAACTTTTTCTACTAATCTGTAGAATTAACTTTTCATTAAACAGTACACACTCAGTTATGATTTAAAAAACCTGGTCTGAAGGCTAATTATAAATTTTAACTATCTTTTATTTTAAATCTGCTTAATTATTTATTTATATTGGTCATTCATTCACAATCTTTATGTAAATTAAAATTTGGAATACATTTTAGTATCACATTTTTAAAATAAATATATTAAGAAGAAATTTACTGAAAATAATGACAACTTGAGACAGTTAGTATTTAATGTTACCAATAGACAGTTAATAAAGTATTAAGACCCAAAGTTAGCCCAAAGACAAACTCTCTTGTTTTTGTTATTGATTCATAACCTTATTATCTTAATCAATTCATAAAGAAGTTAATAAATTATAAAAATGAATATTCATAATTACCATCATCAATCGAATTCTTAATTGCTCTTAAACCGTCATGAATAGCATCTTTGATCTGAGTTAGTGTGTATTTATTGGGAGCTTTTATTAATATAGTAACACTAAGTGGATTTTTACAATCTTCAACAAATGTGTATTTATTTTCACCCTAAATATAATTATAAATGATTATTTAATTAAATTTATAGATCATGTAATAAATTAAGCAATAAAAAACTACATACCAAAACATATTCATAAACAGATCCTGCATAACCAAGCACTTCTTCGGTTAAATCATCAACACTATTAACGGCTGATCCACCACATGCTAATGAAAGACGTTCCATATTACGTCTCTTAGCACGTCTTAAGCCAATTATACCTTCCTTTGCCAACATGTCTAGAGAATATGGATCAATACCCTAAATTTCAAATTTATATAGTAAAACACATTTAAATTATATATTTTACAAATCAATCAAATTCAACATATTATATATTACCTTTTGATTTATGACAACAAATGATTTACCAGATCCAGGAGGACAGACTTTACGTTTTAATTCAATAACCTTTTTCACTCTTTGTTCAATGAAATCACGTTCAGCTAATGCCAATTTTTCTCTTTCTTCAGCAGTTTTGTAAAAGAATCCAGAATTCACTTCACTAAATAACAATATTTATATGCATAAAAATTATTCATGTTTATAATAATAATAATAAATTATCTATTACCTTTTTTCATATTCCATACTAACATTACAAGTCAATATGTAAGCGTTCTCAACTTTTCTAGGCATATCTGGATGTCTAGAACCATGATCAAGAACAAGACCTAATACAAGTAAATTTTATAAGTACATATTATTTATAATTAAAATTTTAGATAAGTAAAAACAAATTTACCTCTAACAAGAGTTGTTGCAGTAGATGTCTTATGTTGCATTTCCATTAATTCAACCATGTGTAAATCTATTCCATCTTCACGCTGCACATTTAAAACAGCATCAACACATATATCTGCCATTTGATCAGCTAATTTTCTATCAACTTTAGTACGAAGAGATGTAGTAGCTACATCATATAGTCTTTGGCGATCTGGTTTTCCATCAATTTTAATTTTCTCCAAAAGTTCTAATGCCTTATCTCTGGCTTTAATCATACCTTCCGTCAACACTCTAGGATGTACACCCTACAATAAAAGTTAAATTAATTAAAAGTTTTATTTTATACATTTAGTATATACCTCAGAGATTAAGTTTTCAGCTTGTTTCAGAAGTTCACCAATAATGAGAACAGTTGAAGTTGTACCATCACCAGTAGCGTCATCCATGGCAGTAGAAGCTCTGGCAATGAGACTAGCAGTTGGGTGTTGAATTTGCTAGAGTATCAACAAATATATATTTTAAAAATAGTTTCAAAATGAACATGATTAAGGTTGACATTTTGGAGAAGTAAAACTCTAAACAAAATATTTCACTTTTAGGATTGTTAAGAGGTTTAAATATTAGTTGTTCAATTATCAGTTATACTAATAATTTAGAACAAATAATCAGACTATAGATATTTTATTAACAAAATAATATATATTATTGAGTATTATTAATAGGTATGTAATACCTATGTATTGCTATCAATAATAAATTACAACAAAAGAGTATAAATTAGGTTGACTAAAATTATTATAATTACCATCTCATGTAAGAGAACATTTCCATCTTTAGTAATTTTAATATCACCAGCTCCAGAAACTAACCTATAAACAAAGAGATATTATATAACTCAAATTCTGATTATTTTTGTTTAATTAACTTAAAATCAAAAATCATATAAGTAAATAAGTACTTACCTTTTTTCTATCATATATCTAAAGAGTATCATATTATGGCGATAAAAACTTGTTTTTCTAAACAAGAACCACCCATTTTTCATGGTAACTGTTATGAAGTAGATGATTTTTTTTTTAAATATTGATATAAATCGAAATTCAAGTTAGTAATTTCTGAGATTTAAGCTTTATGATTTAAAGAAAATATATGTAAGTTTAGCAGTGAGCTATTTTGGTTGAAAATCTATTGTCTTACCTAAATATTTATCTACTAACATTTTATAATTTATGCATAACTATTATAAATAGTACATTATTTTATTTATTTTATATGGTTAGTAAGTGTGTTTGTAGTTTTTTCTTTGAAAAAAAAAGCTTTTCCTTAGCACTAAAGCAGTAAGATCTCTAGGCTTTTACTTTTTATTAATATTCTAGGTATATTATCAGAAAAAAATATATATGATAGATATTTAAACAAAGAATTGGAATGTGTTCAGACTTGAATGAAATTTGTACAGTTCGTTAAGTGTTAGTAGTTTTAAGTCTTTGTGAAAAATTGTATTGTCGCATACCAAAATGTTATTTGACATTATCATATTATTATGACTATTTTTAGAAATATATAATATGTTATAGGTAGTACAGAAAAAATACTAGTGTAAAATCCTTTAAACTATAGTTCATGATTAGAAAAATATTAACCTATAACTAATTTTCAATAGTAGAAATTATACGTGTATAACAATCAACAATCATACGAATTTTATGGTAAACATAATATGTTTCGAGGATAATTTTAAAATCTAAGGGGCTTACATTTTCATTGTTCCTTTTGGTCCCAAGTTGGTCTTCATCACATCCTGTATGCCTTTAGCAGCCGAAATGTTCACCGCCAACGCTTGGGCGGCACGAGCGAATTCCGCTTTAGGATTTAACAGGCTTATAGCGGACATGATAAATTTTCAAAAATATTCGTAAATAATTTAAAAACTTCAATAATTTATTTTTGATAGAGGTTTCAGAAAATCTGAACTCGTGTTTAGCTAGTTGATTGACTCATGGATTTGAACACCTGAACACTACGGTCTACGGCAGTACGGCACTACCCACCACAAGGTTGCTACGGTATGAAATTACCGGAATAATTGTTACTAACATCATTTCACAAAGACTTTATAAGTTTTACTAAGAATATATTCTATAATATCATTGTCTTATTTTACATTTGATAAGAACTGCGGGTAAGCGAATATGGTAATTGGTAATAGCCATATTAGGGTACATTGTATTTATTACTTTTTGTTTTTTACTGCGCCTGTCACTACGGTTATAGATAATCTTATCTATGTTTGCAAATAAAGCTATTGTAGTGTTACTATTACTATTTACTATTATATTCACTATTCAGTATTGTCCATCGACCACCACTCTAACTACTACCCAGGGCATAAAGATTTGAGTACTGGATAGTGTATTGTATTGTATAGGCCGTGATATTGTGTATTTAATGATCATGACGATGACTGTAAATGGTGTATAGACGAAAAATAGAAAGGACGAATTGGAATTATCTGCAAGTATAAAAACAAAATTAGTTGCGTATTGCGTATTTGTGATTAATTATATTACTCTCAAGTCTCAGCGCTAAAGTTAGTAATTTTTGAAAAGAAAATTGTACATCAATTGTCCGGTAGTTATATTCAGTGGTCGAATTAATTTCAGTTTTAATGAATATGTCTCCCCTAAAAAGAGAATACTTGGTGAGTTTATTGACAATGATAATTTCACTTGAATAGTATGTACAAAACTAAGTTTATTATCTTATGCATATAGCCACCACCACTGTCGCCAAGTCCTGTCTTGGATATAAGTGACGATGAGTTAGTCACAATATCTGTACGTGATTTGAATCGCCAACTAAAGATGCGTGGATTAACGAGAGATCAGATAGTACGCATGAAACAGCGTAGACGAACATTGAAAAACCGTGGATATGCTGCTAGGTAATTATTTTTATTAAGGCCTTGTATGATGTTTCTTGATTTCATACTGTTTTAAAAAAATACAACAAATTTATTATTAGTTCATCTATTTCTAATTTTTATATTTTACCATTATTTTAAAGATATTATAAAGTTGTCACACACTAAATCTTAGTTGCCAAGCACTGATTTTGGTTACTTTTGGCACAAAAATTATTTGTATGTATTACAATTTACAGTTGTCGAATTAAGAGAATTGAACAAAAAGATGAATTAGAAACAGAAAAATCTCAAGAATATCAAGAGCTAGATGATCTACAACATTCAAATAATATGATTAGATCAGAAGTTGAAAATACAGTTAGACAATATGAAATGCTAAAAAGATTTGCTGCTACTAATAAAGTAATGTTACCTCTAGAACTTCAATCATTATAACTAATGTAATATATAACATATGGATTAATGTGGGCCAAACAGTATTATTACTTAAAAATTATTGTTTAGTAAAGGTGATTATTTATGTTTGACATTTTAATTAATGATAATCATTACTATTCGATATAAATTATAATTTTTATTTCAAATAATAATAATATTATTTATTTAAATTTTTAACTAGGTATTTGGGAGTAATGTTTTTATGGTATTTATCAACATATTATTTTAATAGATAAAATATAAAATAAAAAAATTTTGTATTGTTATTAATATTGAAATAGATATTTATTTAATTAATAAATGTTAACTATTAAGAAAACACAAATTATAAGATATTTAATATATAATCTAAATACATTTTTTTTAAATTTACATATTATGTTCCTTCAAATATTTTGTATATTATTCATTAGTATGATGTGTAAGATTATATATTTTTTTTTTTACTAGATTTTACTTCTGTAGTTAAATAACAAAATAGTAATAAATTATAAATTATTTTTCTTAAATTGGCTTGATATTAGTTTTAAATTACTAGAGTAAAATAAGTTTAGATTTTATTAAATGTAATCTGATGTTTTATGTACATCTAGAACACGGTGTTCAATGTTAAGATTTTCATTCAGTTTTTATTGATTTGTACTTCTAATTAAAAAATCTTTTAACATTGTTCTGAGACCCATTTAGGTTTACAGAATCCAAATTTGAGAAGAGAGTAAGCCTTCTTAAACCAGTATTATTCAGGCTCATAAATCTATTTCTCTTTGTGAAATTACTTCAGCATCTCAGTTTGTTTCAAATAATCCCTTTCACATTTAAATCATAAACTAGCAAAAAAAGCACTATTTAAACTTTTTATTGTAAGCTCCAATCATATTCAAACCCTCTAATCTCCTATCTTTCTGCCGTAACTCTTCTTGACAATCATATCCATTAAATGTATAATAGTGTCGAGATCTTCTATAAATAAATCAATAATGAAAAAAAACAACAATCATTTAAATGACAAACTCTTGTCACAGGGTACCACCATTGGGCGGTCTCCTTTCTCCTTACTTTGAGATTTTTCCTGTGTTGTAAACATATTGAATCATATATTATCTTATTGTGTGTTTTAAGCAAAGGTATTTGTGGTATTTAATTATATTGTCGTTAAGGAAAAAAAAACAGAACAATTATACTATGCGTGTATAAGCATGCACAAACTTTATTGGAAGGGTATGCAAAATTTAAGAATACATAAATAATTGGATCCTTTCTTTTAAAAAAAATGTCATATTTTAATTACTAACTTGTTTAAAATTTTTATATGTTACCAGCAATATGGATAATCTGGTATTTTTTTAAAATGCCAAAAATCATTCAGCAATATAATATATACATGAGCTTTGCCTAGGCATTATATATAATGTCAAACGTCAGTTAGGAAATATGATAAAAATAAACAAAATTGGGTACCACCTTGTTTAGTCACGAGGCTCCTATGATTTAAGTGATCAGCCTCGATGACTACACCACCGAAAAGAATATATACCAATAATTGTTGAGAACTGCCTAAAGAAGAGGTGACCATATAAAATGTAAATATTTGAGCTGTATTTAAAACGTATGCCAGTTATATCCCAGAAGTCAGTTTACAGTATGTCAAAAAAAGCTACTACAAATTGATGAAGTTTCAACAAACACAGAAATGGCGTTACGAACAGTCGACAGGAACTGGCCAAGGATTTTTAAAATTCGTTTATAAGACCAAGTGTCAAAATAAAAAGTGCATTTCTCTTAAAAATAACGTTTTATGCACATCAAAATGTCATTTTTCAACAACATGTTGTAATAAGTAGCTATAATAATATCAATAATAATAAATATATATACAATATAATAACATTAAATAATTTGTTTTTTACTTTGCCCAAAAAAAATTGGTATTTTACATAACACCTAGGTATTTAATAAAATACCTAGGTTATAATATATGTAAAATAATATTGAAAATCCTATATTTTATTTACATTGACTAAAACCGGTTGGCAATATGCATAATACCTAGTCATTTTGTAAAACACCTAAATTATCCATATTGCCGGTAACATATACAATTTCACTGGCGATTTTTAAAAAAAAAATATTTGCTTTTTGAACTTGTAAATGACTTCTTTAATATCTATTTTTATCTTTCAAGGCAGTTATTTGAAAACTATAAGTAACTGTTATGTTTAAACAAATGAGTCTTCAATATGATATATATATGTCACATAGTCGTGGAGTGTGCAGTGGTATATCCTGCTCACTTCAAAAATCTGTGATTTTATGGTAAATTTAGTCTTAATATTATTTTATTACTGTAAATGTTTAAGGTAAGGTAATGATTAAGATGCTTATATTAGGTGTGATTAGTTTTCTTGGTCAAAATTAACACTTGGCCACTTTTTTTCAAACTAGATTATTTCAGTATGATACATAATACATTTTTTGTCAAAAGAAAAAGTAATACCAACTTTCAAAAAATGATTTTATTCAAAAATATATAAGGTAATAAAAAAGGTAAATTTATAAAATAAAATTTAAGAATATAAATATTGTCTGAAGAAAGCTTCTTGTGTTCTTGTCAGATGGTAGCAACTAGCAACAGATCTGAAAAAAAAATAATTATAAAAAAGTAAACATATTTTTCGGTTTTATGTAAGTAATAGCCAATACTAAAACTTGTGAAGAAAAATAAATTAAAATTTTAAAATTTATAAGGTTAATACCAGGGATATTTGAAATAGAACAATAATTCATGTAACTATTTTATAATTGTATTAATTACATTAAATGTTAGCTGAAATCAAAGAATTTAAATTTCATATAGAATTTAAAAAAAAATACTAATATCTAATACCTAGCAATATAAACATGAATAGGTTTTCTTTTGTCAGGGGAGGAAAGAGTCCAAGACCCACTATGATTTTTTTCTAACTATGATCTTGATGTTTGAACGACTTATAAAATTATGGATTTGGTTTTATTAAACTTTTTAATATGCTTTTAAAAAAGTAAAATATATAATAATAAAAATGTTTGGATAATTAAATTGCATAATCAAGTTTGAATTTGATTGGATTGAGGTTACAGTATGTATATTTAAATATTTGACATAGTTGAGTATGTAATAATTATCACAGAACAGACCAGTAACTGTTAATATAACAGTTACAGCTGAAGCTTTTTAGTTATTAGAAATATATATAATAGTACAATATAACTTTAGTATTTAGTTTGCATAATGTATTTCAAAATTGTTTTAAAAAATATAAATTTTGACCGAAAATCTTACATGTGACTCCCCTATATGCACACACACTTATGACTGTTCAATTTTTTAAATATAGATAAAATAATTTAATGTATTTTAAGATTTAAAAGTAATAATATCAATAAGTCATTTAAATTTATATAAATAAATTCTAAATAAGAAAGTTAAGATAAATTAAAAATAGCAAAAGACAGCGATACAATATAAAACTAGACATGCATTTTATTTTTAATATTGAAATTGTGTAAAATATATTTGAACTACGAACCAAGATTCAGGAACATAGCAGGTATATTTTCAATGTTCCATAATTTAAACAAATGAAAGATCCATTTCTCTGACGGTATTTTAAGAAACTATCCATCTATGAATATAAATAATTTATAAAAGTTAAAATATTTAAGTAATGTAAATAACAAAGAATATATTTTTAAATAACTAGTTAAAATTATCCAAAAAAACCTCAACCCTTCTAAAAATGGGTTTTTGAAAATAATGAATATAATAAATGTGATCTTTATAGACATTAAATTTTACTTTTTAATTAATAATTTTTAGGCAAAAATGAAGTTTACATAGTCTTTTCAATTATTTGTATGGTTTTATCTGAACAAATAAAAATTAAAATAATTTTTTAATGATACTTTGTGATACAACAAAATTTATATTAACATAAATGATACATAAAAAAAGATTACTAGATAAGTAACTAGGGTAAGTATAGTCATTAAATATCCTACAATTACAATAGTAATTTGTATTAATTTCCCATATTATAATTTTAACAATTATGAATCTTCAACATAATTTACTAAGGTGAGTTTTGGTATGTAATAAGTAAGATCACATATGTTAAAATTTGGTGAATTTAAAATCAATAAAAATGAATTCATAAAATTATAACAGTAATCAATATTAATAACTAATACATTTCAAAAGGTTTCATTATGATTGTATCATGCAAGATAAAATATGTCTATAAAATAAAAATACCAATAGAATAATGATGTATTGATCAGATGGCCAGTATATAGTGATTTTGATTGACATAGTGAATTTATTCTGTTTTCTGTCCGCAGATTAAAAACAAAAGGACAAGGATGTTGTCCAGTATAGTAAACAATACATTTTTATCATCGAAATATTGTTTGCCAATGATTTGAGACAGGCAGTCTAAAGAAACATAATTAATTTAACCATAAACAATTAAAGTCATAAGTACATATTTAATATATTTTTATTTCACTTGAAAGTTTTGATATCATATAAAAACAAATATTCAGTTGAAGTTGGTACATTAATTCTATTTTTCATTATATTTACAATGATTTTAATTTTTAATAGATATATTATTGGTATAGTGCAAGTTTTTGTACATCTTTTAACTGAAAAATAAATGAACATTATTACAATTATAAATGTTATGCACAATTTAATTTGACTAACAAAATAATAATATAGTTGACTTATGATAAGTCAAATTTTATTGCTGGAAGTTTTCAATATCTCTAAATAAAAATAATTTCTTAAACACTTAGTTTTTCTTATTCAATTTTATTTTCTTATTTTCTATCATTCAATTTAATTTGTTTCATTCCACTTGAATATTGAATTACCAAAAGTAATTATACATATTATTTATTAATAATAAAATAATTTTATACAAAACTAAAACTTATTGTATACTAGAAATATTTAACTTATATATATATATATATATATATAAAAAAAAAACATAAACATATTTTATTTATTTAAAAACTATAACATATTTCATGATTTAAAACATACTTACATAATACTTACACAATATAGACGAGAACCAAATAAACACATTATATGTAATGTTTAATGATGTTGTTAATTTAAGTTTAATTCCATTTTATAAACAACACTACTTTCAATTATAAAATGAATAAATTATAAAAGCATATAAATTATAATAGTAACTGAGAACAAAAAATTTTAAATTTTTTAATAAACATTACAAATTTAACTGTATAATCAGCAAAAATATTTTTTCAAAATTTCTCAACTTTAAAAATATAACAAAACTTACCCAAAATAGTTATAGAAGATCTTAAATTCATTAAAATAATAATTTATACTTGATGTATAGTATTATTTAAAAGCAGTCTCTAAAATTTATCAAATGTTGTCTTTTGTTTTAATTTATAATAATTATTAATTACAATTTATATACATTTTATAATAATTAATAATTTTTTTTAATTTTAAGAATATGATTATATTATTTTCTGAGCTAATTGCCAATGCTTATTAGTAAAAATAACTAAACATTCAAGATGAGTATTTTTTTTTCATTTTTTTTGCTTAATAACTCATAAATATTAATATTTAATTAGTTTCCTAAACAAAATCTATAAAACATAATATTTTAATAAGATGTCATACCTGCATGCATCTTTATTTAACTAATTCATACTGCATAACATAATACATTTTACACTAAGAATTATTTATTTTACTCTGTTAATTAAAATATTAGGCATTATACAAATTATACTTATATGAAAAATTAAAGTAAAAAGAACTATTCAGCATTAGTAAAACGGAGATAACACATGCAGTTATATCTTTTTAGTAAAAAATATAATTATAAATGTGATTTTTAATTTATAGCATCATGTTCAGATTTTTATTTTATAATTTTAACCATATTAAGATATAATTTATAAATTATAGTTTTTAATATTAAATAACACCTTTATAAAGTATGCATAATTATGTTATTAGATAATTATTATATTATTGTTAAATATTTTTCAGCACACAATCAATCCATAACAATTCCTTTTTGTCCTATGGTTCATTATTCCATAATAAATCCATTTGTAATCCATTATACATGAAGGTTTAGAATAATCCAATTTAACTATAATGATCTGCCCCGATAGGTATACTTCCTAGGTTCTGGATGTCCAAAGAAAAAATGTTCCAAATCCTGATCCATCCAATGAATAATGAATATCCATCAATGATAAAATAATTCCATTTATCATTTAAAAAAAAAATTATAAATCCTACGTTTGTGTCCTACATAAATGTGTTTCCTGGATGTCTTCGTTTTCAACAGTTTTTAACAAAAGATCCAGGGTAGAAAGTCCATTTGAGTAATGTTTTTAATTCATAAAATAGATACATAATACTTAACATCATCCATCTTTTTTTTTATTTAAATATATTGTATGGTTATATTCCTACATGTATCATTATCATGATAATTAGTATAAAGAGATGAATTTGAATATCCAAAATCCAAATATTACACATAGAAGTATTTCAAATGTGTGTTGTGTGCATTGTATTCCTAAGTAAGGTTGTTTCCTTCACATTCATGCCCTTTGCATCCATCATGTGAGGCAAACGAAACAAATTCCATTTAATAAAGTAAATATTATAATAGAAATGTTATTTTCCACAATAGTTATATAGTTATGTCTTATTCTCCTTATGGAGATTTTTAAACTCATAATAATAGTCCACTTTGTTTTACATGATAAAATAACATTTTCTAATTTAAATCCATTTGATAAGCATATATTTTCCAAGTTTTGACAACAGGTGGCAAATAAAATTAATTAGATATCCTTTGTAATTAATGCTATGTGTCCTTTATTTGTGTCAAATTTTCAATCCAGTTATAATCAGCTACAATATAAATGTTATAAAACAATGACAAAACACTTTTAACTTAGTTTAACCCTCGTATTAAAATTTGTCAAAAAATGTTTCTAATAAAAATTAAAAAAAAAATAATAAGAAAAAAAACACTAAAATAATGGAATGAGGGTCAATTATGAATTGTAGCATGCTTTACCATTTGGTTATCCTCAATATTACGAACGGGACCGAGATCTTGAATAACTACGACTTTTTCTAACTGGTGAATATGTTGGTGTTCCACGATCTCTAGGTGAATAGCTGGCGGAGCGACTACGACTGCGGCTATTATAATCACGACTTCGACGACTGCTTCCACCACCATAATCATCTTTTACTCGAATATATGTTACTTCGCCCTAGTCAAAAATTAAATTATGAACAAATATTTATTTATGTACATAAATGAATAAATCATATTTATAATAATAATCATATTTTTTTTTTTTTTTAACATGAATGATAATTGGCGTCATTTGCACCTTACTTTTAACACACTGTAACTCATTGAGTGTTATGATTAAATAATTATTTTCTACAGCATTACATATAAATATTATTTAATACGTGTGCAAATCATATGCCAATAATTTTACTTTAAATTAATATGTGCCAAAAAACAAAAAAATAGATGTTTAACTTCTTATATACAATTAATCCATAGTGAACATGTTAAAATATAAATCATAGTTACAGAGCACCATACTTCAATACTTTAATAAGTTTGACAAAAAAAATCTAAAATAATAAATAAACAAACCTCGTGAGACCTGAATCTTGAATCATCAAGTTTACGAACAGCATATTTCATATCATCATAACGTAAAAACTCAACAACACCAGATCCATCTTTGTATACATCTGCATAACACACATCACCAGCTTCACGCATATGATCTTTTAAATCTTGCCAACTTCCTGACGCTGGTAATCCTTTTAATGTTTGAATAATATATATTTTAAAATTAATAAAGACTTGTAGTTAAATTTTTCAAAAAGAAATAGAAAATTTAAAATAGTTGTATAAAATTATTAAATGTTAATACATTTTTTGTTTGACAATAATATTTTAAAGTTTCTTTTTTTTAATAGTCAATATATTTGGTAATTTAATCACATTAAAATTTAAAAAAATAATAAATCAAAATTAAATACTTACCAGTAACAAGTACTCTATACTGAGAACGTCTTGCCGGTGGACCTCGGCTTCTTCCACTTCCACCACTAACACCTCCTCTACTATAACCACCACCACTACTACTGCCACCGCTTCTATGTGGACCATTACCGCGTGGAAACTCTACACGTAATCTATAGCCATCATAATCATAACCATCTCTTGCATGGACAGCATCTTCTGCATCTCTAATTAAAAAATAATAATTTATCACAAAGAACAATTTAATCATGATAAAAGTTGTTTAAAATTTATTTTTCAATAAATCTTTTTAATACTCAACGTACATTAAGTGCCTTTAATAAATATAAATAATATTTAAGTCATAATAATTTTGAATACAGCTTAAAATTAAAAATTGGTAGTAAGTATTGTATAAATAACTATATTTTATATTTTGTATGTATATCATTTCAAACAAGAATATACCAGTATTAATTATGTACTATAGCATTAACAGTAATAAGAACATAATATTTTTAACCAGGTCTATAAATTATTAATAATAATCAGTAACTAAAGTAATTTGGTTAGTCAAAAGGGAAAGATAGGATTACACAATGTATGAAAAAATCTTGAAACTATTTAGTATATTACTTTTAAGGTTAAGCTAGGTATTAGAATTAATATATCAACAATAATTTCAGTAGAAAAACATTTTATATCTTTTGCTAAGTGAAAATATTAAATTTATGCCATTGTTAACATATTTTAAGAACTAAATTAATTAAAAAACAAACTATTAATATCAATATTCATAGTACAAGTATTTTAATAACAAAAAAAAAAAAAAAAAAAAGAGGATAACAGCATATTATTTATAAATATTTATATTACTTTATAATAATTCAATATTTATAAATTTTTTTTACAGTATAACTTATTATTGAGGAAACTTAAGCTATAACAAAAATAAATCATGATTTTAATCTTGGTTGCAATTAAATGCATTCATCTTTACTCAATTGAAATAATGTTAGTTTGTATCAAAGTGTGTGAATAATAAATAATTTAGTATAAGTATATTACTTAAAATTTGGATACGTTTAAATCAATTAATAAAAATGAAAATACATATTATATAATATAATAGTAAAATGTTATCATTAATGTGTGTACCTGAGCCCTGAGGCAATATAAATAAAATTAAATAGAGGAGTGTTCCTCAATAGCATACGTAGAGATAAGGTTCAACTCTTTCAACAAAAAAATTTAATTTACTATTAAAACAAATATACTGTAAAATAGATTGATTGTGAAACATTAAAATTACATTAAAAAAATGAGAATCTTAGTATCAGTTAATTTTATTTGATTAATAAAATTAACTAATGAGCAATAATGTTACTAAATGTCTTTCATAATCATTTTATCAATTATTACTATGTTTATTATAGCCAGAAGACTAGATGACTTGCTAAGTTAAATACTCCATAATAGTAAAAAAAAATTGAGAGTAGCTCTAAATTTTGTTATAATTAATTAAATAAGAAATATCTTTAAAAAAATAATGTAAATACAAATATAAAATTGTTATTGTTTAAGTTTTGAAAAAGAAAATCTATTTAATGTTAAATTATACAACCTAAATAAATTATTATACAATAAAGATTTATTGTATGCTGATTATTATTTTTTCCAGATTAAGTACAAAATAAAATAGTTAAAAAGAATATAAGAATAAACATCTCATTTCAAATTTTAATGTTGGTGCTATTTATTAGTTTAGCCAGGGCACGAAAGTATTAGAGTGAACTTCCCCATTCAAAGGTCTATGATTAATCATAGGTTTAAACACTAAACAAACTAAAATCCTACACAATATGTTTCTGACACTCCCAAGCGCCAACAACGGGAAATTAACAAGTATCAGGTATTTTTTCTTAAAATGTTCTGTATCAATACTTTTAAATCTCCTAATATGATAAAAAATTAACTCATAGTTTTTTGAATTCAATGGGTATGTACAAATTTATTTTGAATAACAATAAATATTTAGTTAAAATAATTTGTTTTATTAAAAAAGTTAAAAATGCTATGCAAAATTATTATTAAAAATTGAGAATATGAAGTTAATAAAGTACCTAGTATAATAATTAATAAGTATGTATTTGTTTTAAATTTAACAATAATAATGATAAATGTGGAAAGACAAAATTTTAACACGATAAATAATAAAAATGAATCACATATCCAATATAAATAAGTATTTTAATTAATGAAATATTACCTAGGATCGTCGAATTCGACAAAAGCAAACGGCGGTCCTCTCTGATTTTTCAAATCCACAAACAACACTTTGCCAAATTTGTAGAATAAATCTTGTATGTCTTTTGTACGTATATCAGGCGGCAAGTTTCCCACGTAAATTCTACAGTCGTTGTTGGACATTTTTCAAAGATAAAACGCAAGTTGTAAAAATGTATTACTCGTGTCTTGTGCGATATTATTGGATAAAAGCCGTTCAAAAATCGGTTACACGCGGAGAAATGTAAAAATCTTAGGAATAACTAAAACAACAATTATGCCTTTTAGAAAACGATAGTGAATATTGACGCTTGACAGCAGCAGCACTGCAGCAATTCAGCGATGCGATTAGGCGAAAGTTAATGTGCACAGTGCACTTGATAGAGATAATGCCGTAAAAGCAAATTGTCAAACTGAATATTGACTAAAAAAATAAATAAATTTCCCGAAAAAAGTTTTAATGTTATCTATAACAACAATGGCTAAAGTATAGTACCTAATAACTAATATATTACATGTACAATTGTCAATTACACAAACTACAACTTTATTAATTATTTATTACGTTCGAGCAGTTATCGATATTTCAATATCGATATTCATGGTGAAATTTTCTGGGACTCGTGTAATCACTGTAATCACGTTCGATATTTTAATCGTTTTACGCTTCAATTAGGGTCTGGCACTGGCCGAATGGTTTTATGTTCAAAGAATATAACAATAGTAATCATTGTTTTTATTTTGGAACGTAGATACTATACATCACTGTTCAAACGACTAAACGATATTTCCGAAAATTAAACTGGGGACTTAGGAGTGGATGAGTTTTAATTTCAATATCGATGGAGAATTAAAGTAGATTAAATTATTATCATAGACCTTATGGCTTATATTATAAAAAAATAGTATAAGGTCAATGATTATTAAAAAGGGGGGAATTGATTATTTAGATTACATCGTTAATATGGTTTGAAATTCATATGTACTATAAAAAATTGTATAAAATGTAGTATAACTCTCTTAATGATAGTTTATTTTAATTACCAGTAAAAATCAGGGTCATATAATATTTTATAATTACTATGGTAAAAATGTTAAGTATGTGTGGACATTAAGCCGATTTAACGACATCATTATAAACGCATTTTACAAACGCATATTAGTGAGTTGAGCTGTAGTAGGGTAGTAGATAATAGACATATTATACATAAATACAATAATTAATTTTATTAATCTAAAATGGCAAAATTATATTTTATATTATATTAGAAAAATGTTGAACTATAACACCGTGTATCGATATTCGATATCCGATAATTTTTACAACTTACAAAGCTCTTGTTTTATTGAGAAGCGCGCATTAATTCGATAATCGATAATAATAGTATGTTGTCAAATTGAAGAATTGAGATTTTGTTTTTTTGGAGGCGTCGTGGAAGAAAAAAGCTTTATCGATTCGTTGGGTCGATGGTTCGACGATAGTAGAATGGCTGATAGAAACCGCCGTCTCCCGACCAATGACAGCCGAGAGTTTGGCTCAAACAGAGTTGTTAACATTACTATTCCGACATTCATTTTATCGGCGAAATTTGGGAGTTATTGTAACCGAACGATTAAACAGTTGTGTGTTTCAAACAATTTCGTCCAGAATTTTCAGCCGTCGAAGGAGTTCATCGAATTAGTGCGAAAGCACCTAATAGTTCCTTGATTTTTTCGTTTAAAAGGTAAGTAATTGTTAAGCATTCTGAATGATCAATTTGATTTGGAAACTGATTTTTAATGCACTTATAAATACAATTAAAATTGCTAATCGTCCAGAATAGTTTTCACCACAGAAGTTTTAAATTAATCATTCATTTTTTTCAGTTGATTTCTAATACATACTAAAGATGTCTGATCGCAAGGCAGTAATTAAAAATGCTGATATGTCTGAGGAGATGCAGCAAGATGCTGTTGATTGTGCTACCCAAGCACTGGAAAAATATAATATTGAGAAGGTAAGATATTATTATGTGAACTATAATGTAATATTTAAGTTGATTATTTCATTAATTTTAATTTTCTGTACTGTATTTATGTTTAATATTTTTGTTCAAATAGTAATGTAATTAGTGTAGTTTTTATTAATTTATTAGTATTACTATTTGTTAATACATAATTGATATTATTTAATAATTTAGATACTCAAAAAATAATACTGATCTAGGTACATATACTTTAAAATTTTAACTTATTTAAATAACAAATTTGTATATTCTTTATTTTAATAGTTAACATATATTACTTTCTCTGAATTAAATTTATTTTTTGTTCTATTCATAATCTTTTTGTTTTTATCTGTAAGTACAGTTATATTTATTTAATATTTTAAAATGTAAAATTACCAATCCAAGTTCTGGAGTGATGATTAGTCAATAATCATGATACCTGATATTTATTTATTTGAGAAAATATTTGATAAAGTAAGAGAAACCAATCAATCATTTATATTTAAATTTTTCTATAACTAGATATTTCAATAAAATTGTAATAAATGAAAATATAATAAACATAATTTTATTTTATGTTTGATTATGATTTTTACGGCAATCTTTTAAATTATATTAATATTGGAAAACTTTTTGATTGATTCATGTAATTGTATTGTATTGTTATTAGGTAGTATTGGTTTATATTTTTACTTGAAATTTTAATTAGTAATTGCATCTAGAATTTTTGATTTCTGATGTAACACTATTATAAACATGATTATAATGGTTTATACGTATAGATATCTTATTAGAATTTATTAATCTATACTTCTATTAATATTTGATAATTTTAGTTTTACTAGATATATTATTGTACTTACTAGATTGATAATATATTGAAGAATTGCATAGTAGATTTAAATTATATTAATTTATTGTCTAATCAAACTATTCATCAGCCAGAATTAAGTTTATTAATGACAGACTATTGTTCCAAATTATAGAACAAAGATATACTCAAAAGATATATATTCATACTCAAGTTATAGTTATAATTTTTTACAAATTTTAAAATTTCAAAACTGTTTAGTCCCATAATGAATATAGTTCTTTATATTGAAGTATAAAATTTTTTTTATTACTATTATATAATATTGAACATAAATATTAATAAAATACGTGAGAAATTATGTATTGATGTTTATTGTAATTTTAAGTATTCCTTCTTTATTATCTAAATTGACTGATTTTTTTGATACTAATAATCTTATACTTTCTTGTTAAAATAGGATATTGCTGCATATATAAAGAAAGAATTCGACAAAAAATATAATCCAACATGGCATTGTATTGTTGGCCGCAATTTTGGAAGTTACGTCACACATGAAACGAGGCACTTCATATACTTCTATTTGGGCCAGGTGGCTATACTGCTTTTTAAGAGCGGATAAATTTTAAATTGACTATTGCACATGTCCCCTTCCAATATGCAAAAATTAATTAAAAAAATAAAACAAATTTCACCACCTACTCTTACAAAAATAAATATTTTTATGAGCATTAGCCACTCGTTTTATTTTTTTTTTTTAAATTTTTGATTACCAAAATTATACAATATTTATAACATTCCCCGTGCATTTTTTAAATTTATTATTTATAAGATTTAAATGACGATATTTATTGGAAGGGCTTGACAATTTTTCTCATTACTAACTATTTTTATTATTTTTTTTTTTTCTAAACTAAAATGTGCGAGTAGCTTTTAATATTTATATATATATATATATATATATGAGTGTGCCATCATCAACAATGGCTTATACTCTTTTTATTCCCCTCGCCATTTTTAACTCCCTTCATAACAGGCTACTCTCATTCTTGCATTACTATTTTATTAAACATATGTTAACTACACAGTAAACAAATATTTTATTAGTATTTTCATGTCCTCAAAGTATATTATTGTAATTATTTCTAGTCCATTAAAAAACAAATATTTAATGAAATTTGGGACTGTATTGTGTATAATTTAAATAGTTACTTAGATTATGTTGGGTTGCATGTATGTTCATAATATTAAGAAAACTTTTGTAACCAGATAAACAGTTTTTAAAATGTTTTGTAAGTTATATGCAGTCCAGCATTACAAAGATAATAATATATTATTTTCAATGGAATGAGAACACGTCACCGACATAGATAACAGTTAAAAGTGGATTATGTTGTTATTGTTTACTTATGTATAATTTTTTTTTTTTTTTATTAATATGTTTATGATACTTATAGATCTTTGAAAGTTTTTTTTTTAAATAATTGGTTTATTTATTATTATTATTATTATTATTTTTTTTTTGCAACATAGATATATAAAAATAATTTTGTGTTCTTTGACTGGTGTAAACAAGAATGTTTCAAGTAGCGTCTTAACATTAATGATTAATAAATTCTAAAATAAAACTTTAAATTAACAGTTCTATATTATCACTTAATTATAGTATCATAATTAATTATTTAATATTGTTTTTAATTTAATTCTAAATTTTATAATTTGAATCCCGAGTGAATTGCTACAACACCAAATGTTAAGTTTGAATATGTGACACATCTAAAGCCTGCTGACTCAATCATATATTTGAAATCTTCCTGTAAAAAAAAAAAAAAAAATATCAATATGAATAATGAAGAAGTGTTGTATTGTATTTGAATCTAGAATGATTTTATAAGAAAAGTAAACCACAAATTAAAAAATGTACAGAGTAATAACTGGATTCAATAATTTTAATGCATTTAATCTATAATCATTTTTAATGATTTGAAAATTTAAAAGTGCAAGCAGATTTTTACCTGTGTAGGGAATTTTCTAATGCTTTCCACTAAGTATTGGTAAGGTTTCCACTGTCCAGCAACTACGTGACCCATGACGGGAATTACGTTGAACGAATATTGATCATATAGCCTTAAATAAAAATTGTTGATAAATCGTAATTGAAAATACAATAAAAATAAGAATGTCTTACCATCTTAAAGCTGCTGGATTAACTTGGCTGAATTCTAAACAAAGAAATCTACCACCCGGTTCAAGTACTCTGTATGCTTCATCTAAAGCTCTGTCAATGTGTGTCACATTACGAATACCAAATGCTATTGTATAAGCAGAATAGGAATCTGATTCCATTGGTAAGTTTTCTGCATCACATTCTACCCATGATATAATATCTTGGTTTAATTTCAAATTTAACGCTCTTTTTTTTCCTTCTTCCAACATTGAACCGTTAATATCAGCAATTGTCACATGCCCATCTCCTTTCATATCAGATATATATTTTAAATATCTGAAAGCAATATCTCCTAAAATAATAATGTATCAGAGTTTAATAAGATAAAAATAAGTTAATTAAATTATTCAATTTAAGAATTTATATTTTAAATTAAATTAAATTTCTGTACTCCAATACTTAGTTAAAATTTAGAAACATACTTTAGTAGCGTTTGTGTGTAGATTAATTTATTTTACTTTTTGTTCAGTAGTATATTTTTTATCAATAATTAATCTAATGATATCATTAATTTATTAATGTATATTAAATTAATCTAAGTTAATAATTATTTAATGTTAGGTCATGTAGACTCTCGAAACTAGTGGTTTTAATAAGGGCTAGCATTTTTGAAAGTAAAAATAGTCAATTTGTATTTAATAAATTAAGTACCTGTTCCACCCGCAACGTCCAGTAATCGTGTGCGTGGACTTGGATCCAATGTTCTCATTAGTTCATCTTTCCATAATCTATGTACACCACAACTCATAACATCATTCATAGCATCATATGAATCCGCAACACTTTTAAAAACTTGATGCACTAAAAATATCATTATATGTTTTTTAAGTTATAAAATTAATATAAAATTGTTTAGTTAATATTTGCTAAAACTATTTATTAAAGTCATGATAAAAGATATATTGAAGAACTAAATATGATTTAAATAAATAAAAAAATATTTAAAAAAAAAAAATAAATTTAATATATTACAACAGGTAATGAAAAATGTAGTGTAATATTATTTAAATTTGATCATATTAAATTATTATAACAGTTTATTGTCTAATAAATTAACTCAAATAAATAATTAGTTTATATATTCACCTAGGTATACTAGTATATGGGATTTTAATTTTCCAAATATTAATCATTTACTTAAGATTATATCTAAAAATACTAATACAAAATATTTTATTCATATTACGATAAATTGATTAAATTATCGGTACTTCGGTCATATATTTAAAAAGCTAAATACATAATTTATATACATTGCCACAGGTACAACATGTAGATTATTGTATAAAAAAAGGTTTTCATAAATATAATTCTAAAATTTTAAGTTTAATTACTTGTTATATAATTCAATGAGATTTTAATAGATTGCCTTAGATTTACAAATTTAAAACGTGCAAGATAAACAATTTTACTATCCTATCACTTTAAATAGATTAATTAAAATTATTTAATCATCATCACTGTCCCAATTAAGTGATCCAGAACTTTTGTTTTGTCGGTCTGGAGTGTTATCCCATTTAGGAGAATTCAATTTTTCTCTTTGAGACGAACCATCCATTGATCTCTTTTCTCTTTTTGAGCTATTCCTTTTTTCTTTTCTTGCTCTTGACTGTAGTTCTCGTTCTGTTTTAATAGAATTATTTTTATTTTCTCTATGACTTGAGTTTTCATTTCGATTTCTTTGGGGTTTTGATTGATATTTACCACCAGGATTTTTATATAAATGCAAATAATTACAATTTTTTCCTTTTGGACACATTTTCCTAAAAAATAATCCACATACCGCTTCAGACCATGAAGGAATATTACAGAATTCAGCAGTTATCTTTCGGCCACCATAGAAACGACCACACAAGTTTCTATATGCTTTTAAAGAATGCCGTCTACTTCTATATTGAACATAAACATTACCTGTTAGATGTATTTCTTGATTTCTACAAACATTAAGTTCAATTATTTGTCCATAACTTTTAAGTTCAACTAATATATCTTCAAAAAATTCATAAAATTTTTCATATGCCTCTTTTTCATCACATTCCAAACTAATATCAATATCAAATTCACGTTCATAACGCATGTTTAATTCAAAATTTTTATAAAAATTAGGAATCAACAATGTATTACTAATACCTGGTCGAACATGATTTCTAGAACAATTTTCACGAAAGCGACAAGCTGCAACTTTTGAAAAAAAAGGACACAGTGGTTGATCTGGTCTTGTACTCGTACTAACATTAATAGATTCAGGCAGTGGACCCAGATTGTTGATATACATTTCAATTTCTTCAATAAACTTAGCATTTTTTTCTTCTTGGAGTTCTTCTTCTTTTTTCTTCTTTTCTTCTGTTTCTTTAATTTTCTTCTGTTCTCTTTCCCATTCTAGTTTAATTAATAATTCTTTTTGAGCTTTTTCTTGTTTAATTTTTTCCAATTTTTGTTGTATTGATTTCCATTCTTCGATAGCAGCATACTCTTGTTCAACCCATTTTTTATATTGCATAACAGCAATCCGTTCACTTTCATTTCGTTCAAATTCTTCAATCTCTTCTTGATTTTTAAGCCATTCTTTGTATGATGGAGAGTTCAAACGATTTTGTTCTTGTTTTTGAAGCAATTCTTCTCGTTTTACTGCCATTTTTTGTCTCCGAAGTTTACGACGACTCTTTTTCCATTTATTACGCAATATCTTATGTTTTTTCATAACTGAACCTAGATGATATGAAAATTAACACTTTTAGAGATTTTTAAATACCTTTTTTCGATTTTTCAGCTTCGTCGACTGTTTGAAAACCAAAATGTGTTTGAGTCGAATACAGTGCTGTGAACTTGAAATAACGTGTAACACATTTGTTAAATCTATTAAATTTAAGACTCATTGTCAAAAATTATCTAAACAATGATGATTGAAAAATAGCAATTTAAATCACTTTACAGTTCATTTCACTTTGGTTAACGCGTACAGCTGAATAATTATAAATACTAAATATAAGCTTTACTCTACGATTAGCAGTGAATAAGTTTTTCAGATTTAGCACTAAACAGATTATTAACAGACAACAGTTAACTAGTTATTGTATAGAGTTTAGCCGGCTTTATGATTTATACTGTTTAGTACAGACTACAGATTATTATATTATATATTATAATATGATGTTATAGGTTGTCTTGTCATTCAAATCATTAATAATAATATCATAATTCATGATAATGTTTGTTTATCACAGAATAAATGAATATATTATAATACATGATAATATGATAAACTTTAATCCGTGATAAACTCATTGTAAATGTAGACTGTAGTTACTGTAAAAAAATTAAATATTTTCTATTTACAAAATAGTTAATAGTTATTAACTAGCATTAGTTATAACTTATAGTTTCCGTAGTCGACGAACAAGTAGGTAGTCATCTAGAAGAGTATTAATTTTTATGTATATTAACAAATAACAGCTGAACAGCCGTGGTAAAGACTAATCACGAAGTCGGCAGTCAAATCAAGAATAAAAATATAGAAAATGGCCATACGCTCATATATGCTATAATAATATATACTATGATAAAATAATAATTAATAATTATTAATTATCAATTAACATTTAATGTTACTATAATTACTAAAATATTGATGATTGCCCTTTATTTTTTTCTGTGTTATTATAATTGATTTGCGTCCTAGGCTCGAGCCTGTAGCATTCTACATAATATATCCATATGGATCTACCGACAATATAAAAATAATACGAAAATAATTAATTTTTAAAATAATAGTTTAAGTAACCTCGGGATCGAAATATTATAAAATGTGGTCCTTGGTGTATCATGTATTATAATATAAGTATACAATTTATTAATGAAAGCATCATAATGACCATAGAAGTCTTGAGAAGAGTGAATATCTTTATGCCCAAGTAAGTTAGAAGTAATTAATAAAGACAATTTAGGTTATCAAAAACAAGTTGTATTTATCAGTAATTTACAAAACCTTGCAAAATTCAAGTTATATTTTTTAGTGTATGTATATTATATACATTATATAATATGCTTGTGGTTAAATTATAGTGAATTTAAATATATAATTAATTTACTATTTATAATTTTAGTAGCTGTTTAAAACCTAGTAAACTATCAACCTGGCTATAAGATATAAAATAGGTACATACAATTTAACTAAGACTCAAAATAATCACATAACAATATTAATATTTATAGAATTTATATTTGATTCTTAAATTTTTATCAAGCTAATTTAAAAAATACTTGAAATTTAAAATAAATTATTAATTTCAATCTTCTTGTTCATTTTTTTCATAAGATTCATGTATTCTTCTACGTTCAGTTAACACATTTTTCAAATGTTCAAACATTGTTATTAAAATATAAAGACTTGAAAAAACTATAATTGCCAATAAGTTATAAGAATTTAATTGTGAAGTATATTCTTCATTTATTTTATTCCTTGTATGCCTTTTTCGAGTTTCATATTGTTGCTTAAATGAATTTGTATAATGAGACTTAGACCACTCTTCAAAATTATAATCTCTGCTACGGACATTGGTTTTATAAATATTATTTTTTGTACTCATTGTTTCAAAAGGTTGTTGTTTGGTAGTAAATTGAGAAGATTTTTGATTTAGATTAGCACCACTGTCGTATAATTTTCTTTGACGTACATTTCCCAAGACTTCATATGCTGAAGTTATATCGCGGAAAATTTTTGCAGCTTCTTCACTTCCTTTATTTTTATCTGGATGATATATCATCGATAGTCTGTAATAAGCATCTTTTATTTCTTTGTGTGTAGCAGTTTTAGGGATATTAAGCGCTTCATAATGACTTTTGTAAGCTACGCAAATAATTGTATTTACACTAAAACCATTAAATAATCTCTTGTAATTGCTCCACATAATACTATAGCTATAACAAAAAAAAAAAAAAAATAAGTAATTTATGTACTAAATTATAAGTAATAAATAGACATATTATAATAGATAAATGTTATTTTGTAAGTTATACATTTGAGAACTTACTATGTTTCTTAATAACATTTTGTAATTTTTAAAGTCTCAATTATTGAGTTAAATGTTCAAAATGATTCCTAGTTTTTTCAAAAAGATTTACTTAATACATTGATCACAATTTACTAATTTAATCTATTAATTTAAGTCATTTCAGTAATTTTTGTGATATTTTGAATTTTGATATAAAGATAATAGGTATAAAAATTTTTATCATATAAAAACATGTGTTCTAAGCAAGAATCATACAAGAACTCGTCATTGAATCATCACAGAATAATTTACTCTATAGTATGTCCCATGTATTATGGTGATAAGTGATAATTGATAAGACATGAACGAAATTGATATAACTTACAATTTTATGGTGAGTTCTATTAATTTAGATATTATTAATTTATAACTTATTTAATAGCTATGTTCATAAAAGATAGTTTGTTTTAATCATATTTTATTTTTATTCGCCATCTATAGTCTTCACAACAGTATTGATTTGTATATTTTCATTTCTCTTTGAAGTGGTGCAGCATCATGCCAGTAAGTATACTGAATAATTTTTACCCAAGTGTTTAAATTTTTTCGAAACTTAATATCATACTAGTCTGGTTAATGCTGTGGACTGTTGAATGTGTTGTATTGTTGTATAAATAGTTCGTTAACTTTTGGTTGTATTCTGAACACTAACACTATATTATTTTGTATTTCATATTAAATGTTTATTATAATACACTAAATATTAAAAAAAATATTGAAATTATCAACTAAAAATGTTTTATACAGTGTGTCTATGACACGGGTGTTGACCATTTACTGTACAAAATCCCATCCTAATGATTTAAGTAGCTTAAATATGACATATTACTTACATCACTATTATGTATCGAGTATGGTTTCTAATTTAAAGAGAGTCAAGTGTTATCAACACTTATTATAAATGCATTGAATAATAGCTTAAGTTAAATTTTAAAACTTGTTAGATTTTAATGATTTTTTATTCATATTACTGGCTAACAAATATATTATTAATAAATTGTCAATAGTTCAGAAACTTTTAATTTTATTTTATATAAGTTATAAAGAGATAATTTATTGTGTTTTCTTATTTATTTATAAGATTTGAGAGTACAATAATAGATTATCAATTCCTTTAATAAAGAGAAATATCGATATAAACTATAAGTTTGATGAATTATTATAAGTATTCAGGACTTGAAATAGAATACATGCAATCTATCCATGTATTATAATCAAATAATTATAAAATAATTTGTTATTATTTTATCAGGCCTATCATTCTAGTATAAAAGATTACCAGCAATTGACTGGAAATATGGCAATAGTTCCAATAAAGTCTCAATACAAAGGCCCTGCGCCTTTGCTCAGCCCAACAACTGCAGACATGGATATAATTGATGAGGCGTTATCTTTTTTTAAAGCAAATGTTTTTTTCAGATCCTACGAAGTTAAGGTATTCTTTAATTTTTAATGGTATAATTTACGAATTACTAAATTAAAATTATTAATTTGATGAATTTTGGTTATATTTTAGAGTGAAGCTGATCGTGTTGTGATTTATATTACTTTATATATAACTGAGTGTTTAAAAAAACTTCAGAAATGTCAAAGCAAAGATCAAGGAATGTCTGAAATGTATTCATTGGCACTTTATAGATTTGATATACCTGGAGAGGCTGGGTTTCCATTAAACTCAGTTTATGCTAAACCGTCATCAACTGGTGAAGCAGGTATTTTGACATTAAACTATTTATTTTTCAAAATTTAATCATTTTTAAAAATAATTTTTTTTTTTTGTAAATAGATATTATGCGTCAATATTTGGAGCAATTACGAAAGGAAACTGGCCGAAGAGTTTGTGAAAAAGTGTTTTCAACTGACGATGGAAAACCATCTAAATGGTGGTTATGTTTTGCTCGTAAGAAGTTTATGGAAAAATCATTGCTTGCTCCAGGTCAATAATCTACTCAACATTTAATAAGGGCTTGCATTATAATTTTCATTGGTTGAGCAAACTATTAATGCGTATTTTATTTTTGTATTTATGTCTGCTCTTAATCTATAATTATTTATATTTTTTATTATTAAAACATAATTTTTATTAATTTATCTTATTACAATATAGTAATTGTTTAAATATTTAATGAATACATTTTTTTAATACAAAAATTATTAATTTTGATATACTTTTATTTTATTTATTTTAAAATCATTTATTATTTGTTTACAATCTATACAATTAGTGTACAATAAGTATATACAATATACATGTTATATACCTTTTTACGTACAAATGTATAATTAATAATATTTATAACTTATGTATTTTAAAAATGTGCCAACTATTTCAATTAAAACTATTAATAAATTTATTAAACTTAAGAGCATTGGAGTTGATAAAGCTAGTGAACCAAAACTTATGGTTTCACTAACAATATTTTCAAAAGAAAAAAAAGCTCCATTAGAATCCACTAAAAAATAAACATGTTACTATGTTAGTTGTTGTTATTTAAAAAATTAAATTTGATTTTGCTGTTGGTAAATTGCAAGCTTCAAAATTTTGAAAGTGATAAAAAACTTTTCAGTTCAAAAAAAACATAATATTTTTTTCTTCTTAATTTTCTTCATACTCCACATTATTGATCTATAATTATTAATTATTTTGACAATAATATAATATACATCTCAGTATAAACATGGTTTAAAGTTTATCCAATATTTCCTATTCAAGGAATGGTCATCAGTTGAATTATGAGGAGAAGTTCTTGACTATTTTATAGGCCGAAAAACTTATTCCACAGTTTTAGTCCTTATAGATGAAACAGGTAATGGTGCTAATAAAGTAATATTCTTGATAATTTAGACTAGATAGCTGGGCACCTAGTACTTACTACTTACTTTATGGAAAAAATCATTGGCGCAGTACTTCCATTTCAATGTTATTGGATTGATTCTATTTATTATCTATGAATATTAAATTATCTATTTAAATGTATCAGAAAAATTACAATACAATTTAAAAATAAATATTAATTATTTTTATTTATTGATATTAAAAAAATGTATTTATTTTCATTGTTCAGCTCAACATGAATTCTTCATAGAATATAGGTATATGACTACCATATGTACTAATATACTCATTCACTTTTTTTGTATTTTTATTTGATTTTACCATACGTATGATAGGTTTAAGTACATTAAAAATAAGTAAAATATTGATGACAGGATATAGGTTTAAACAAAACAAATAAACACATTTATTGATTATTAAAAGCATCATATTCATTCATCAAAAATAACGCACAGCCTATATAGATACAACAATATGTTTTTGCCTATTAATTTTAATTGCAATGGGCTGTCATTTTATTTAAAAGTAAATTTTATACAATATGACAAAATTTCATTAAGTATGACATAAAATAGGTAACAATAAATTATTTTGTAGTTAAAATAAAAATATCAATAATAAGTTATAATAATGGGATAATATGATGAATAATAATAATATGTATATATATATATTATGTATACATATTTATTATATATATATATATAAAATATAAGTATAGGTATAGACTAACTTCTATTTGTAGCCATGTAGGTAGGTTTATTTAGTAAAATATTTGTAAGACAAACAAGAGATAAATGTTAAGCAATATAACATAAATAAAAATTGTTAATTTCAATATCATATGAAGTACTTGAATACATATAATAATTATTATCTAAATAATAATTCATTATTTTAGAAATAAATATTCAAAATTATGCAAATTATATTGGTACAAATATTAATGTACCTACTCATATAATTTAATTTAATTGCAAAATGAAATCGAATAGTATTTCTAAGTATAGGTAATAGGTACCTAAATGATGAGAACTTATTATATTTATTAATACTTTAAATAAGTACATGTATTCAAATATTTATTGGAATGTAGCTTTCCATTTACATATTTTTTCAGATTGATCTACCAAATGTTTTTACATTATTAATAATATTTTCTAATAATAATAGTGACAAACAATTTATTTTTAAAATTAAAAAATTATATTATATATTGACTTCACAGTTCAGATACATTTTCTTTCGATTTTGATTTTCCGGTCCTGAAATAATTAAGTATTTTTCATTACCAAGTTTCTTTGTAAATAAAACAAGTCAACAAAAAATATAGAAATTTATTTATAAATTATTATTGTGTGTTTGTATTTTATTCGTAATTAATATGACAATTTGATTAACTAGTGACGTTGCATTACGGTTTATTCTGAAAATATATCATAGTATTGTTGACATGTTATGTTTTGGGTAAAAATTATGTGTAGGTATTTGGTTTTAACATACTATCATTCATTAATTATTATTTTTAAATTGTGAAAATAACAATCTATGTAACAATCTATTTTTTATACATGGTTATAAGTTTATGATTTATCTAAAGGCTGCTTATTGAATAAGATTGTTAGAAATATATTTAATAAAAATTCAATGCAATTTTTTTCAAACTATTATTTACAAAATGGTAACTAAAATTATACATTTTTTGTCCTTGGTTTTAAACTTTTGTTTTTTTTTTTTTTGTGATTTCTTTATACGCCAAGATTGTTAGTAACATCATTCATATTTTATTATTTTAATTTCTAATTTTGAAATTGTATTAAACACAATTATATACATACCATCCAGATGTACTTGGCTTTGTAATGTCATCAGTTTCTAAAACAAAAATTATTTTTATTCATTTTATAGTTTTTGACATTAATTTATGTATTATGTAGGTACCTATACTATCAAACAAAACTTAAAACCTGCAAATTATAATGTGTATAAAATATTGTGACTAAGGTCAGATTAAAAAAGACAAATTATGTAGGTATCTATAAATGAATAACTTCAATGAAAAAATGAATCAATCTATATATATATATATATATATCAGCAGTTTTCAACGTTTTTTTTACCTGAGTATCTCCAATCCATTTAAAAATGTTCATGCGCCTATCACTTAAGAACTTTTTATTTTTGTTTATTGAAAAATGTGTGAATAATTTTTTTAGCATACCACTTATTAGGTATCTACATATCACTATAGGTACCATAGGTTGAGAAATTCTAATCTATGTAAAGTATGATTGCATGATTAAAATTATAGTTATTTACAACTGGAATAATAACTGTGGCTAGTTTTTCTTTTGTAGGTAATTAATTTAAAAAAATTGCATTGTATAATAATAGCTGTACAAAACAGTAAATGATCCAAGATATCAAGCATTACCTATTGATCATAAAGAAATTATTTTATAATAGAAAATAAGAAACTGTTATGGTTTATTGTTTAAAAAAGGTATATTTAGTAGTTAATTTCATTAATAATTTTAAATATTATTTTTTTAATGTATTGTGTATATATATATAATACTACTTCACTCTGTGTCTTAGTGTGTGATTAGGTTATGTAAGGTACCTACCAAGATAAGCTATACTAAAACAATCAAATGCAACATTTCAACTTTGCAAGTTATTTCTTACTATTCATTAATTTTTTAGTCAAGGATTATTTTGCTTCTATTTATTTTACAATCACATGTCAGGTATAACATAAACCTTAGGCATGTGTGTATTATACACATTCTAATTTATATATTTTTTTATTAAATTAGGATTTATGAAAACTGTGTGAACAAATATTTATTTCACTACATAACTATAGGTAGGTAAGTATTTTACTTAGTTATCTATGTATTTATATCAAAGATACGTAATTCATAATTGCACACGTTTAAATTTATTTATTATAATTCAATATTGTTTAATAATAACTCTTGAGTTATTTTGTATCTTTCATTAATTAAATTGAAGAGAAATTTATTAAAAATGCATATTAATCGCTACATTTTATATTTAAATTATGTATGTATTAAAATTATAAGTATTTTTATGCTCTTAATATTTAATGACATTGAAAAAATTTAAGTACCATAGTGATACAAATTTTTTTACAATACATAAGAATATCATTTTTTTGCACACAATAAAACATGATTTATTTTAATTCTATTAAATATTCATTTATAATTATAAACAGGTACCAGCTATTATTGGTTTATAAGTATAATTTATAGATTAAATATGCTAAAAGATATTTTAAGTTATAAGTGCTGATTATAACTTCATAAAAATACTAACTCAATTGACATAGATTTAGATTATCATCTTTAGAGCAGCGTTTCTAAAACTTTTTTATCTGTGGAACCCTTTTTGATGTTCACTTTTATCGTAGAACCCTTACTTTTTTTTAGCTTTTTAACTTTTTTAGGAATATTTTCAATAAAAATTATATTTATTTCATGCAATAATAATGTGTTAAAGGTATTTGATTTATAAAATATGTTAAAATAAAAATAATAATAATAATTGTATATAATAATATTTAGATTACTTTAATTAGATTAAATTGTAATTTTAACGAGATTAATGAAATTGCTTATTTTATTATTACAAATATTCTAATATTGGGGGTTTTATTGATGAAAGTTGTTCAAACATTTTTTCCCAACTATCTGCTTCTTATCTTTAGTTAGATATTTTGAGGTAATTTTTTAAAATTTTTCAAGAAAATTACTTAAGCTTCATGGAACCTTGAAGTGATCTTCATGGAATCCCAGGGTTCTGCGTAATACAGTTTAAGAAACACTGCTATAGAGAATAGAAGTTTGTATTATCAAAGGTATGACCTAAATGCCATAAAAAATGTAGATATGTATATTATAAATATTAAGTACCAATACCTTTTTGAAAATTCTAGAATTGAGTTAGTAGGGTACTAAATGTAAAAAATAAGTAAATGCTTATATACTGTATGTATTTAATTTAAGCATAAAAATAGAAGAGTGGTCTAAAATAAATAACCTTTATGCATACCCAAGTATTTTTTATCTCTTAGGTTAACCATATTAATAGATAATAATTTTTTTTTACTAATTATAAGTATATGATTTATTTAAAGACTATTCTATAATGCTCTGTAAGAACTTTCACAATATTAATTAAGATAATAAAAGATGTATGTGTTTGATAAGTATTATATTTTTATCATACCTATTAAGTTTTTCATAATATAATTAGTTATGAAGAAAATTAACTTATTGTGTAAAAATTAGATAGCCAATAAATGTTAAAAAATAATTTTCATTTAAATTCATTATTTTTAAAATCTTATTATTTAATAATTTAATTATTAACCAGTATTTATTTGATGTTGAAAGCGCCAGTCATGCTCGCGTAGATCTATTTCTGTATCGTCGTCCATACTAATTTCACACTTCAACTCCGGTTTTGATGCAGCCACTTGCAACTCTACCAATCACCACAAAAAAGCGTCTAAATCTAATTACTAATTTAAGTATTACTAATATCTAAGAACTAAATACTAACATATTAATTTTTATCGAATTTCTTAATCTAATACCTACGCAATATATGCATTATTATTATTATTTTTTAATATTTATATATTTAAATATGTACAAATGGATAATATTTATACATAAAGATATTTTTCAAAAATTTTATCTTTTATAAAACGGCGTCCCTAGATTAATTTGTGTGTTAGGGAGAAATAGAGGCAACAGGTTCAAACATAGTTTTTGCAATAATCTAGTTCTTAATTGTTTTTTATAATATAATTGTTATTATTTATAAGTAGGCCACGCGTGTTGTTTCCGTTTTACTTATGGAAAACATGAAAAACTGTAAGTTCAGAATAATACATTTTACTCCGTTATTTTTAATCCTTTAGTGAATTGTTCTATTATAAAATTTAAAGCTAAGGATATTATTAAGTATGAATTTGTTGATATTTTAATTTTGAAACAAATTATAAATATAAATAAAAAAAATAACAATTATTTTAAAATGCTATCATAATTTGTTTTAAAATAGATAAAACATAAAATAAATTTTGTATGGGCCGAACATAATATCCATATATTTAGATTTTGTAATAGGTTAAATTATTCTAATAATAAAAGCCAGGATTAAATGGATTATTCTGAACGTAAAATGTTTTATCTTATGCGTCAGTTATTTGAAGACCATACATGTACGTACATAGGTGAATCGTTCTTTCAAGAGAAAATAGAAAATTTAAGTTACATATTATTAATACTTAAAATAAATATACCTAACATAGATTAATATATTAAAATGTATCAATTTACTTTATTATTAGTAATTACTAATTAGTATATACATATATATTAATAATTCATAATTTGTTTACAGTTTTATTAATATTAATAATGTAAAAAGAAACATTTCAACAAAGAAAATATTTTAATAAGCTACGATGTGTGAGAAAGGCAACTGATCTGGTCTCTTTTAGAGATACCTCTGTTTTAATAAAATTTAGTGAATACACAGTTATAAATAAAGTAGATATAATTTAATTTTTATTGGGCACTAACTGTATATTTTGTAAATTATTTTTGTTTCATGCATTTGTTATAAATTAAAATTATTTACCTTTTTTTGTATCATTATTTGATGGTCCAGTTATCTCTTCAGACGATCCTATAACATTTTAATCATATTATTTATTTAAAATATCGGTATTTGAAAGTGTTAATATAAGTGTTTTATTATTGAAAAGTTGTTATTAAAAATTCTAACATTCAATTGAGGTTTTATTTTAAAGCATGCAAAGGTTATTAAAATATGGGTTTATGAAGAATATAGTATTGGAATAGTAATGAAAAATACAATGAGTTTATGTACAGATGAAGATGACCTTATATTACATATCTAATGCACGTAATACCTGCAATATGTGTTGACGTTTTCTTACTGATTTCAAATCCACTAGGGGCATCTTTAGAAAGTTTTCTCAAACATTCGTTTAATTCGTCTTCGGAAACGCCTTTATTTGTTAGCTCTTCAGTATCAAAAACCATTCGTTTTTGTACAATTCGTGTAACAAATATATTTCCATGCTCATCTGTACGTTCCATATCCTCTTGAAATTCGCCAGGTGAAAAGTGTTCTACAAAATCTTTTATAATTTTTTCTTTTTCGGGTCCTTTTGCCGTTACTTTATGTATTTCTGCAGGCAATCGTATAATTTTGTGAGTGAATTCTGTTCCATCTGAATCCTTTTTATATGTTTCAAAATTTTCATGTTCATCAAACCAATCATTTTTATTTTCAGTTTTATCTAAGCCTTCCATACTGGATACCATAGTATTGGAACCTCCACTTGTGAAACTAGAAGACATGTTAGATCCAGTTTCACAGTGGTAAGTGGCATTCGTTGATGTGGTACTTATTGGTCCTAGTGAATCATTGCTACCTAAAATTAAACTGTTTCTGTATGATGACTCTTTAGAATGATCATCCATAATTGGACTACTAAAACCACGACTTGAAACACTTGAGTTCATGCAGTCATCATAATCGATTTGTTTTCCTTCAACAAACCCAATATTTGGCATATGCTCAAGAGAAGCCGACACTTTCATTTCAGTAACAATTGTTTTTAAGTCAAGAGATTCTGTGCTAGTTAAATTATCATCTTCTGATAAATGTTTTTCAGAATAATCTTCGTTTTGTTCTAAGTTTATCTCAGCCTCTTTGATGATTTCATTGATTTTAAATAATCCTTCTTCATCTTCTAATGATTTTTCAGTAGCTAAAGCTTTTTTTTCAATCATCTCAGTCTTAAAACAAGCTGCTTCTATTGTTTCAAAATCTTTAAGAGAAGTTAATGATAAATCATCTTTTCTGCTATTAGAAGAACTTGTAGTAGATGCTAAAGATCCCGAAGATTTAGCTTTCATTGATTCGATTCTTACCAACTGTTCTAATCTTTCAAATTCTTGTAGGGAATTCACGGATATATTATCATTTTCTAATGATTTTCCTAAGTATTTTTTACTTTCTGGAGTACTACTAAATGATTCTTTCATACTGCCAAAACTATCAATTGAATGACTGACTTGACTACCAATACTCCCAACTTTACTGCTTTGCAAATCGTCTGTATCTTCTTCTTTGATATCTTCAAGGGGAGGTCGTTCATACTCTATATTGTATCCATAAACTTCGTTTATAGTATTATCATCTTCAAATTGAAGTTCTACCCATTTTTGATTTGTAATTTCTAATTCAAGTTGACTTTTTGATCCCGGACTTTCTGAGTCTGATTCATGTTGAGATGAACCAGCGCTGCTCAAATTTTTATGAATTATTTTAGTTTTTCTTTCAATTTGTATTGCTTTTCCTTCAGAATCATCTTCTCTAGCTTCTTTTCCTATTTCTTCTATAACTACAAATTCATCTTCTGAGCTGTCTGCAAGTTTTTCTTCAATATTATCAACTAATTCGAAGGATTCACTTAATGAAACCGATTCTTTTTCTTCTATTTCTTCAACATTTTCAAGAACTGTTTGTTCCTCAACAGTCCATGAAGGTTCTTCGTGTGGGTCATATTCTTCATTAATTATGTATTCTCTACCCTGATCTGTATCTGATGATTCTTTACTACTAATTGATGCTGGGGTTTGTGGGGTTGAAGATTTGATTTCCAGTTCTTTTGCTTCTAGATCCAAGTCAGGATAATGAAAACCTCGATCAACCAAAGGAGCCATATGTTCCGTTATCATAATATTAGGAACAGTATCTATAGAATTTTCTATTAAATCATCTTCATCTTCTGAAAAAGGATCTTCTGGTATTGTGGGGGGTAAAGAAGCAGGTATTGCTGGTGATACATGAGGTACCATTTGAAAAGCGGCATCTGATTCGGCAATATCATCAATATGTTCAAAACTATGTTTATCAGGTATACTTCCATGTATATCAAAGTTGTGTTTATCATGTATCAAAGTAATTTCTTTTTCTGAATCTAAAACGTGTATATCTTTCGATGATAAATTTTCAAATTTCATTTTAGATACATCTTGAATATGTTCTAAATGCTGATTATCAACTTTAAATTCTTTAGATAAACTTGTATCTACACTTTCTTTGTTTTCAATAGTGTCAAAGTCTTCCATTAATATTTTACTAAATGAACTACTATTTCTTCGGTGTCCTTTTTTTTGTACTTCTTCTGATTTTGTGGTCATTTGTGTACATATATTTTGGCAAACACCATGTTCTGTTGGTATTGAAGATGATAGAATCGTTACAGATTTGTTGTCATTGTCATAATATTCGTTTTCATTTTGTTCCGTCGAAGTTTCAACAGATTTTGTATTTTCATCGTTGAAGCTAAAACTGTTTGTTCCAGATTCTGGAAATCCATTCATTGCTTCAACAACGGTTTGTATTGCTTGGCCTTCTGTACTCGATATACTCATACTAGCATCCTCACTAGAAAATAACTTTTCTTCGTGGGATGATGAATCAGATAAGCTGTCACTGGTTATATGTTTTGGCATAGGATGAAAAGTCATTTCATGTGATCTTTTCATTTTTTGTGTATTTTTTTCACTATTAATAGTTGGCTGAGAAAATGGTTGGGTTTTATACATGCAACTATACTTCATTTCAGTTAACTCTGCTATAATTGGTAAAGATTCTCCTCTAATTATATGCATTGGTATTTCTTGTTCATATGGTTCTATTTTATCTTCATCTTCTAAAATTGAGTTTGAACCATCTTGGTCAAAATCTAAATCTCCAGTTGATGCAATAAGTGTCTCAGATGCTTCACTGTTTTCTACTGAAGCAAGGTTTCCAGAACTTTCAGAATCTAGAGATTTCATTGATTCTCTTGAACTCAGTGAACTTATTGCAGTGTGATACTCATTTGATGGTACGGAAATGGCAGATTCATACTCAGAAGATCCAGCTAAGAGGCCATCCACGTCTGACGAACATGGTCTACTAGACGACGTGAGATCAAATGAATGATAATGGCTGTCACTTGAACTGGAATCTGCAGGTTTTTTTGATGAGAGTTTATTAATATTAATGGAATCAGATTTTCTCAAAACAACGGTATCAAAATTTACTCGTTTTTCTTCACGAATATCAATTGAAGACGACGATGGTGAAGTTGGTGAGTGTACGGAATTTTCTTTTGAAGGAAAAGATTCCGTGCTTGGTTGTTTGATTAGTGACTTTGATGAACATGGCTCAAATTCTTTTATAATTGTTACTTCGTTTTTATAATCGTTCACTGTTTCTTTCAAAATACAAGATGTTGCTCGGTATTCTTTTCTATCTATATTATATATTTCCAATCCATCATCTGTGGTTTGTTCTGAGTGCTGTTCTTCTTTTATCAGTTCATCATCGAAATCCTTTATTAATGTATCAACGTGTTTTTCATTATTTATACTGTCCTCAGTTTCCCCGTGTATAATTTGTTTATTTTCTACTTCAAAACATTCTTTAGAGTGAAATTTATGACTATCATTTTTTACGAAATGTTCATTAATTATTTTCCCCTTTTCAGTATTTGATGTTTCACTCGAATTAAGAATATCATGAACACTATTATCATCATTGGAATTGTAATATGATCCAAGTTCTTGTGTTTCTATTTTTTGATTATTTTCATTGATTACCTTATTTTCAAGAACATCTGTTTTAGTTTCATTGCAGTGTTTATCGGATATAAATTTATGATCAATCTGCCCACTCGAAAAATAAGTTTTTTGTTGAGATTCTATTCGATTATTGTTTTGGTTTTGTTGTTCTCTTATACACGCTTCAATAATTAAATTATCTTTTTCCTCTTTATAATATTTTTCTTTTTCATCATGTGAAGATTGTCTATATTCATTAAATATATCCTGGTCATCATTGGAGGGATTTGTTTTAGATTTTTCGTAATCACTTTCTGGAATAATATGTTCAGTGATATTTGATTTTGTTAGTCCTTCGTATTCAATTTCAAAACCACTACTTTTTAAATCCTCATCTGTAATTTCAATGCTCGAAGTAATAGTATCATGTTTTGATACACTTTTTAATTGGTCCCTGGATTTTTTCGCTAAAACTGATTCCATAATTTTTAATTGCAAATCTTTTCCTTCCATATCTAAAAAGCCACTATTTTCAAGTTGTTGAAATTGATCAGGCGATATCATTAAATGATGTAAATTGGCCAACACATCATGACGTTTCGTAAGCTCGATTTCAATTTCATTAATTAATTGTACCGCTATAGTTTTAGCTAGTTCTACAGTCATTTCTTTTTTTGTATTTTCACGAGATTCTATAGAATCAACTTGTTGAACAAAATTTTTATGGAAAAGACATTGATCTTTAATATCGATGTTCTCTAATTCTTGTTCATCTGTTCCGAGCTGAGTGACTTCCCATATTGTATCTGGAATGTGTTCTTCTGGAGTGTGAATAATACGATCTGGTACAATTTGTAAACACATATTTTTTTCGTTTTCTATTTCATGATGTAATTCGTCATCAATCATTGAAGAATCCATTGATTCAGTATGTAAAATGGATTTTTCTTTTTCTTCAATAAATGAACAAGAGTCCGAAGGAATTTCATCAATATGATCTTGAGTTAAACTTGATGAATTTTTGTCTTTTGACTGTTTTGAAATAACTTTGTTTAATTTTATTTCTTCAGGTAATTCATCGAGTACAGATGATTCAGCAGATTCAGTTTTTGTAATTGATTTTTCACTAGTACTTCCTGAAATTTTATCAGATGAAGAATGTATTGAGTTCATTGAAATACTTTTTTCACATTTTAAGCCTAAATATTTTTCTTCTGGTATTAATGAATCTATTTGCTCATCCAATTCATTTGAAAAGATGTGTTTATGAATTTGGCGATTAATAAGAACTTCTTGGCTTGGTGACTGTTGATGTGTTGTAGATTTCAAAGATTTATGTTCAGGTGAAGATTCTTGTTCCATTTGTATACCCTCCATCTGAGGCTTAATTTGCTGAATATACTTTTTAGAGGAATTATGTTCAGTTTGATGAGATGGCAATGACATTGATCTATTTTTTGTGTCCATTTTTTTTTTATTTGAATACTGAATATATTCTGTTTTAGTTGAAACTTTATCATCAAAAACATCTTCTTGAAAGCCTTCATTTTCAAAAGCTAATGATTCTTCTCCATATTTTATAATATATTCAGTTTCAGAATCTAATCGTTTAGTTTCTTTAATATCATTATGTTCTTCTTTTTGTGGTATATGTGGTTGTTCACCGAGCAATTCCGACTTTAGACAAGTGAGCTCAGAAACTACAGTTTTTTCTGTAGTTTGGTTACTTGTCATTGGCTTGTTGTTCATTTCAGGCACTTCTGCATTATCAGAAGTACCGAATGAACTTGTGAAGTATTCTAAAGAAGCATTGTTAGTTAAAGATCTTTTCGAATCTTTTATTGGAAATGAAATGCTATATCTAGGTTTCGGCAGAGGAGGTTGATTAGTTTTAGTTATTTCTTCCCAAAATTGTTTTTTTGTAGTATAGTTTACATCATCTTCATCTAAAGAAGATGTAACACTATTGTCAATGGAATGTCTAGGATTTGGTTTAGGTGGGATTTTATCTATGGAGTTTTGTAGTGCTAAGTTGTTGGCGTTAGTTGTTAATTCTGGGCTGCGCTCTGTACACACAAATACATACAAACAAAATACAGGATTAGAATATTGGTTATTTATACAATGGTTAACTAACTAATACAAACTCGCCAAAAAGATCAAGTCCTAGGATATTTATATTATATGGATTTCTATTTAAATTAAAAAAAAATTGTTTGTAGATCAAATATCTATAAAGAAGCCTGAATTTATAGTGCTTTATTTTGTTTTGTTATACGTTGATTTATATTTTGATATAAAATTATACAAAGACAACAAATTAATTTATTTCATAGAAATCGTAGTGCTATAAGATATACTTTACTGCCATGTTTATTATACCATTCTCTTTTTTCTATTGTTAGTATTGAAAGAAGCGTTATTATTCTATTTAGCTTCTAAATGCAATTCAATTTACCAGCTCCATCCCATATTTGATTCGCAACATCAACCTCTTCATTTGATAATTGGGAAATTATTCTATGATATTCTCCTTCTACTGCTTGTTTAGCAATTGGACTATCTTCTAAAGTTTCTGAAGCCATACGTTCAAATCTTCTCTCTACCCTCTTTAAAGTTTTTTCCCCAACATCTGTTTCCATTTCAAATTTCATTTCTTCTATGGCATTTTCTTGATTAATAGCAGATATAGATACATTAAAGTCTGAATCATTTTCGCTGTCACTTTGTCCTGGATAAACGATTTCATCATCTTCTGATTCCAATCGAAACGTAACTTTTCTACTTGGTAATTTCTCTGGAGGTTCAGTTACTATGTATTCATAATCATTATCAGATTCACTATCGTCTTTGTGAATTTCTCTAAATGTTGGTCTTTGGTGTGTTGATAATCTTTGAGAACCCCCAACTCCATTCCTTCGAATTTTCGGAGAGGATATTATTGGGATAGGAGAAGAGCAATCTGATAATTGTTCAACTTCTAAAGATTCATGTGGATCTGAATCAGAGGAACCAGAAGATAACTCTCCAGAAGCTGCTAACTTAGCAGTTTCTTGTTCAATCAACATATCTATAAGTAAATTAGTAAGAGTTTCATCGTGGTTACCAGGATCACTCAACATTGTCTTTAACTTTTCTTGTACAGTATCTGGAGATATTTTTGAATAATCAACTGGTTTCCATTCGTCTAAGTGTTCATAATCATCTGGTACAGTGTTCTCTGAAGGGGTTCTAACCATTAATGGTCTTATTTGAGTACGATCGTTTTCTGAAAACGATTATTTCTCAAAAAAGTTATACATCAATTTCTTTATTTTTATTTATTAACTGTGAGGAATTTTAAAGGAAATAAGGAATTAGCAGTTAGTAGCTTATTGTTATAAAAAAAAATCCAGTATTACACTCGAAAACAACACACCTCACCTGTTTTATTATGTGATAGCCATATACAATAACCAGAATTTCGATTCTTTGACATTTTTGATGCTGATTTTTTATTCTTCTTAGGAGTAAAATAACATATTTTAAATGATTCAGTCAATGATTCTTGTGAACCTGATAAAAATATATGTTGTTCTGATAATGGCAAGCAAGGCATAGATCTATTCCACCACCTGTATGGTAAACTTGCGGTATTAAAATTGCCACGGAAACTTGGCCCTTGAACTTCTTGAATGTTATTGGATTTTGGAAATCCACAATGATTTATTGTTTGCATAATATCGTTTAAAGAATGTCGTATTTGGTTTTCTTGATTTTGAACATCATTTAATAGTCGATAAATCCTTTTTTGGACATTGTCTATGCTACCAACTCCATTTGACGAGTTTTCTGATTCTGATTTTTCGACTCGAAAATGATTTGTTAAATATTCTTGCTTTTCTACTTTATTTTCCAAAATTTCCACAGCCTTAACTAATTTTGCTAGTTCTTCTCTGCTATGGCTAATTACTGTGTTGATCAATGTATTTTCAAAATAATCTGACCTTTTGTGACTGAATAATTCATTTGAAATATAATCTAAAGGTCATGTTATGTTAATTAAATTATTTACATAAAAAAAAAAAAAAAAACAAAAATCAAACTATGAATACATTATAATATATTATATTTTATTATTCTATAATATATTTTTATTATTATATAAAATTGAAATACAAATAAAATACATTTCATTAAAACTGTGATTTAATTTAATTCAATTATAAAATAATTGGTAGTACTAATAGTACTATGTATGTAAATAGAATTAGTTATTTTGATTTATTAATGTTTTCATTACTTTCTATCACATTAAAACAACGTATGACAAAACGTATTAGTGCAAAATGTTACATGTTTAATATTTATTTTTAAGCATTAATTGTGTTTTTTATTCTAAAAAGCTATTTGATTATATTAAATAAATACCAGTACAATGAGCAAAGCAGGGAATTGGCGTTTATTTAGTTTCACTTGGATATAATGTTTGTATAATCTTTTTTGCAAGTTTACATCAAAACTGTGTAATGTGTGTGGTATCTAATTATTTTAAATTTGAAATCATATTTAATTAATTGATTACTTACCAGAATTATCTATAGACTTTGCATTTTGTTGTTGAGGTTGATTGGCTTCATTCCCTAAAAAATAATTTAAACATTAAACAATATTTACGAAAATCAAAATACAAAAACAAAAATAATATTAATATATTACTGTAATAAATTAATATAATTATGCTGGGTCGTACAATAGTTTAATAAGCATTTAAATATTTTAAAGTTAAAAGTTTTTAGTTGAATAATTTAATGTAGTAAATCTTGTACAACCCATTATTAGTACACTATTTTATAATTATTAATTTTTGTTAAAATATTAATTATATTATATATAGGTATATATATAAATGTTATTTCATACATTTTTAATTATTTTGTGACTTAATTCATTTTATGTTGTGACTTACATAGTATTTATTTAAATGTTAGTTTAGACCATCACCTTTAATATATTTTAGCTGGTAATTACCTATATTGGATTTTTTTTTGGTACAGGTATAATTATATATTTGATTTAAATCACATATTTTTATGCTACTATCCAAAATTGATAATTTTTTGAAATTGAATTTTCGTTTCAATTTTGGACTACCACACATACTTTCAAAAATATTTATTACATCAGAGACATGTTTTGTAGGTTCAAATTCAATTTTCTTCTGCTCTGGTTGTTTTTTTATTTCTTTTTGATTAAATATTTTGAAAGCCGATAGTCGTGTTATAGGTGAAGGGTGTAATCTTTCTATACTCGTAAATTTGTCTTTTAGGGAGTAAACTTTTACCAGAGGCTTTTTGTCCATTATAATTTGTGTTTGAAATGGTCTATTTATATATAATTGTACTATATTTATAGGTTGAACAATAGTATATACAGCAATATACGTAAAATATTTATTTTTAAAGGTTTTAATTGTTCCGTACGTGAATAAATCTACTTCAAATTGTTGTTTTGGATCATATAAGCTACTCTTAATAAAATAACCTGGTTCTAATGGCTCTAAAATGTTTTTGTTACTATAATCCGACAAACCCCTACCTGTGATCATTCCATCATTAAACCATCTCATTGATAAATTTCCGTAATCCCTACCAACGCTTAATAATACCGAATTCTGGCTCTGAAAGTCAACAGAAATACTAAATCCATTTCTGTTGTCATGAATTATAAATGTATTATTATTTTCTTGATTTTTGATTTTATTTGTCTTAATATTTTGATCTTGTTTAGAAATGGCCATATTGGTTAGAGTAGGTTCAGACATGTATTTCGATAATGTTTTTTTTTTGTTTTCTTCTGAACGTTTTTTAAAACTTTCTTCAACCTCTGAATTACATCGATTTTTATTTCGATATTGTTTTTTACCATATTCTGTTTCAGATGTCATATTTTTTTTTGATGCCAATACTCGATTTTTATGTTTATATTTACATCTATCTTGTTTAACAGTTTCTATAGATTCCACTACACCTACATCTATATCATGGTAATATGTGTTATTGTTTTTAAAACACGATTCTGTGTCTCCGTATTCTTCAGCTGTTATAATTTCTTCTTCGGATTCAAAACCTTTAACTTCTTCGTTTGGAGATTTTAGCCAAATAGGGTTTGATTCTTCTGATGGTGATAATGCTCTTGTTATTCCATCTTTTGAGTGAAACAAAATTTCTCTGTGTGGTAGTGGAAAATAAGAGATTGATTCTAAAGGGGGTTCTGTGTTTTTATCTTCGTTAATTATTTCCTTATCATCTGTGAAATGTTCAATATCAGTAAGTTCATCTATAACTTTATTGTTTTTTTCATATCCTTCATCTTCACTTAAGTCTTCGACATCTGTCAGAATGAAATAATCTATAGGCCCTGGTGATAAATTAGGAGTTCGAATATAATACTTTTCATCATCTGAATCTGATATAACTTCAACATCTGTATAGCTATTCAAATCTGACAAACACGGAGAAAGTGACTTTGGTATATGTGCTGTAATGGGTGATTTCAATATAATTCTTGATTTATGTCTGGTTGATTTAGGAGAAACTGATCGTGGTTCTTGTATTTGAATATTATTTTCTTTATTAGCTCCATTCAATAGATTTGCCACTTCAATGTCTTCCTCATTGGACTCATATGCAGTTATTGCAATCTGGGGTAAGCTTTTTTTGATTTCTTCTGACATGTCATCAGATAATAAAAATTGATTTGAATACTCCAAAAATAAATTCAATTCTATCGACGAATCGTCAAAAATGTTTGAGTTTATCTGTGAAAATAATGTAAGGTTAAATGAAATAACGAGTATAAAAATACTCATTTGGACTCATAAAAATAATTTAAAGCTTCACCACATTTTTAAAATATATTTCTTTGGCTCTAATCATAGAGCTTTAGTAAATTGTAATTTGTATTATTATTATCAAGTTTAAATAATAAAAAAAGGAAAAAGTATGCTAATAATTGTTATAAATAAATATGAATAAACCATTTAGAAGATTTTGAAAGTTTGGTTTTGTTTGGATTTTGTTTCTAGGGAATTTTTTTTTTTTGAACATTTATCATTTCATTTTCAAATAATATCTACTCAGCTTTCAAAAATATAAGAAATGAATACATTATCTATATTTCTTAAATGCATAATTAGATTTAAATTTAAATTATATTTAAAAATATAATAGTCGCCAAAAAAGTTTATTTTATTACATTTTAATTTAATAATAAATATATTAAGGTAATAACATATTTTTTTTAGATATTTTGTGTATACACGTTATAGAAAATATATTACGTCAAAGAATAAATATATCCCAAAGAGTTTATATATTTTCCAAAGATTATATATTTATTCCATTGGTGAGAATAAAAATGCCAAAGTGTACATATACATATATTACAAAGAATATGTATTAATTTCATGGATGAAAATATAAACGCCAAAGAATTGGTTTATGTTCTATGAATGAAAATATATTTTCCAAAATTTTTAAATTTCCTAAAGAATATATATTTGTTCTGGTGATGAACATTTTTATGTCAATGATCAATAATAATAAAAATGATCATAAAAAATAAAATAATAATAAAATCCTAAAAACGATTCACTTATTATCTAATTAATTGAAAATTAATTGATTTTAAAATAATTTTTTACAGAGTTGTCTGTTTAATATTCTGTACTACATATCATAATTCATTTTTAAAATTTATTCCCTACTTATTCTCTATCGTGTTGATGTTTTATTATGTATTGCTATTTACTACGTCAATTAATTCTATAATTATTTATAATTTCTTGTACACTTTGATGTATTATTGTTCAATATGAAACTGACAATCTATCTTATGTGTGAATGATTTTTCGTCAACATTTTTAATGGTTTTGGGTTTAAAAATTTTATTTAAAAAAATTATTTATACATATTTTATATGTAAAATAAAACACAATTTTATTTATTTAACACAACATTTAAAAAAATAGTATTTTGTTAAAAACACGAATATATAACGATATAAAATAATAGCAATAATAGTAATAATAATAATAATAATAATAATAATAATAATAATAATAATTGTATGACTGTCACCGTTTTCTATCGATTTAGATAGAAAACTTTTATTTATTTAAATTAAATTTATTGACAGAACTATTTTTTATTGCCTTGAAGGCTTGAAAACAATAGCAATTAAGCAGTAAGTAGTACCTCTAAATTGGTCTTGTAGTTAAAAATATTCACCTAGCATAGAATTTCTTATCTTACATACTAATGTATAGAGCAGCGTTTCTCAACCTTTTTACTGTGGTGACTCTCTTTTTGAATTTCGATATTTTAGCGACCTCCTACATATGTTTTTTTCATAAACTTGAATAGACTATTATTAATTATTATAATAGTATTATACACAATAGTGTTTTATATTTATTGATTTTATTTTTTCATTACTTTATTTTATTATTTGAGCTTTTAAATTTTTGTATTTTTGCATTTGAATTTTAAATCATAGGTCAGTGACCCTAATTAATAAGTTGGGTGACCCCTAAGGGGGTCTCGATCCCCAGGCTGAGAAACACTGGAGTAGAGGATAGTATGTATCTATATTGTTAAAATTGTTGATTTACTACTAGTTTAGAGGAGCAGTAAAAAAGTCAAAATATTTTATCAACTAAACAAATTTTTATCTTTATTCTGCTCTTCTAAACATAAAATATTAGTGATTACTAATATTTACAATGTCATTTAACATGTACAATGTCTTTAATTACACATTTAAGAAGTTACTGTACTGTTGTAATTTTTTTTTAAATACATAAAGTATACTAAATTTGTACACCCAGAGATTGTTTCGGTTATAGGAGTATAACTATTTAGTTTTTATAATAGTTCATAATTATTTGGGAATTAAAAATTTATAACTATATAGTTATAATATATTGTTTTCATATAAAAATATGGAACCCTTCAATTTCTCTATATATTATGTATTGTATGTTAGTATGTATGCATGTATATAAATATAATATTTTTTTATTATTAGAGAAAAGAAAAACAATATATACACACAATTGGTACAATAAGTTAAAATTATATCAAAATACATTTATCGTAGTATAAATGTCTGATAGAAGAAGCTACGAATTGGTAATACTCTGCTTATTTTAATTATTATTAGAGTAGTTTTGTAAATTTTGCATAGTGAACAACACCAAATTATGTACTTACACCACTTAATTTAATTAATAACTATATAAATACAAAATTTTACTTATTGTAAATTTTCGATAAATTATTTTTTTTTAAATCTTAAAAATGGTTTTTATGAATTGAAAATTCTGTTGTAATTTTGTTTACTTGTTGGTTTATTTTAAAAATAATTGTGTATATACCTCGGAATCTCGATTGGTGTCTGAGACTGAAGAATGAGTAGTTTCCTCATCGTCTAATGATACTGATTCTGTTATAGAAGTAGGTTGTTGTTCGGACATTGATGAACAAGGAGAACGTTTTGGTTGCTCATATACTAATTCTACAGACGAAGCACGATCTGAGGAATTTGAGAAGACTTCTGATGTAATTAATACTGAACTGAT